AAAGCAGGGGGAGATGCTGTTTGGATTAGATCTGGGCAAAACCACCAACAGAGGTTATGTCCTTAGAAAAATACCACTCAGAATATGAATAAAAATGCTGTTTGTTTGTGGTGGGTAAATGCAAAGTGCAAACAAAAAAGTGAGCAATTTATTTAAAAATGTCCAACTGATTGTGGCTTAGAGATGAAGTCATAGCATTAAGGAAGTTTAATTTTATGATGTGAATTGAATTGTTGCTGTAATGTCCAGCAATAGACGATTTTTTATGTGTGTGTTGTGCCCAAACTCTCCCTACAAAATAAATGAGAAGCATTTTTAAATGGACGAAAACAAAAAAGTAAGAAATTGGAGTTGGAGTTTTGCCAGGTGGTCGCTTGCTAATCTTCATATCCAAGTTTAAAGCCATACTGAGAAGCATTGCAGGCAAAGAAGGAAAATGGAGACAACCATGTGGCAGACTCAACCAGAAAAAGTTGCATATATCTTCAACCTGCTTTTCAAGGCTTTGGTCAAAGAGGAACTCATGACTGTTGTTTTGGCCTTATTACTGAGTTTATTTCACTGCACATAAACTTTCAGCACCTGGGAGCAACATATTCAATTAAAGGGTTTTGGGGGTTACGACTTCACAAACAAAGCTCACCACATTGTTGATTTTACTTATTTAACAAACTTAGTTTATGGAGATTTCAGGCTTTGATACAAGATTTTACCGCTTTGTCATTTACTAGATTTGTGTCCAATTTACATAAAGCTGCAAACAGCATGTGCATATGGGGGGTCACAACAACATCTCATTTCTGTAATGGGACCCAGTTTATTGCAGCGTCGCGTGAGTGACAGGTGGAAATGACATCACTAACATTTAAATTGTTGTCCTTTTCTGTGTCCAGTAATACATCCTAATGCTGTGTTTTCCACTAAAGAAAACCCATTTCTCCTGCTTACAAAACACACCGTCGTGACCCGCCGTTTAGACTTTGTAGCCGTTTCATTTTACCGTCCTCATAACTTCACTGTGTCACCGCATTTGCCAATTGGCATAATTGAGCCGGGTCAGATGATAAAGAGAGCTATAACGACCGATGCAGGTGAAATAAAAAACATCTCCCGCTTATTACTTTTGCCCTTTTCCAGCGTCAATCACGGCTCTGTGCCAACAAACAGCGCGACAGATAGGGCCCAGAGTGTTTATTTAGGGGAAAAGGCCCAGAAAAGAAAGAAAAACGGCGCGAGGAGGGAGGAGCAGAGCGGAGATAGATGAGATGTGACAGGCTGCCACTCTCCTCATCAGCATGACACCACTGTCACGGCCCTATTTCAGGAAAATTAAAGGGCCTTACGGTAAACGGGACAGCGAGAGGAGGGGCCGAGCGCACAGCCAAATGAATACGCTTGTCGTATGCAGATGGGCGCGCGCCTCTCTCCTCCCCCCGTTTGTACTCGCGCCGCTCCTTTTGACATGGTAATGGCTCCAAATTGATGAAGACACTTCACTCATTCACTGACAACTGTGCTGGCAGGCGACACAAACACCCGTGTCCCATAACTCAGAGTGGCCCTCCCTGGAGGACACCTGCTATTGGCTGCAGCACTTGTTTAATCAGCTAATTTACTCTTCTATGGCGCGCGTTAATGAGTGCGCCACCTCTGGATTATCTTGTCATCTGCTGCTCTTAATCAGCGCTGATGAACTGCTCATCCAACTATTAGCGCCTCTGCCTCTGTCCACAAAGCAGACACAGGCAAAGATCACATAAAGTCAAACCCAATTAATATCATAACTAATGGGTTCACTGAGTTTTAGTCAACTTTATAATCATACAATTAAGCAGTAAAGACGCAAAAATAAAAATGAAACACACGGCTATTTAAACATGTATTAAACTGAATTACACTTAAAACAAGGATTCTATTTTTTCTCTTCACTGCTCCCTTGGTCAGAGGTCACCTCAGTGAGCCATTCGCCCGTTGAGTTTACACCAGATGCCCATCCACTCATCTTGACACAATTAGTCTTATTAATATGACTGCAGTAGGCAACTGGGCATCATGACAGCTTCGAGTCAAGATTAAAGTGACAACCTTCTGGACTGTAGGTGTACAGCAGTAGGGACTGGTCAAAGTAATGATTTGGCATTCATAATTTAATAGTCACTGTAATAGAAGGGCTGCAAAGAGTTTTCTTACAGTTTGACATTAATCTTGATACGTGAATGAGAAACAATATTGATATGATTTAGTTTTACGTTTTAGACCTAAGAACAAAATCAAATGTTTCCTCTATTATGCAAATCATTAATAACATAATATTTGTCATCTCTGCTTGAGTTAAGGCCGGGTATATGCAATGTTTAACACCTGGAGCAGTGATTGGAGTTAACTGAACAATATGATACTTGAGCAATGCTGCATCTTTGTGATTTCTAGAGAGTTGCTGTAAATAATTTTGAGGGGGGAAAAAAATAGAAGTTTGATGAAGGAGATGTTTAAATATATATTCTAATTAATTTACCAGTGCAGTTTAAAGTCTAAGGTGATCCTAACATTTCAAAAAGGTTAGGAACAGCCTTTTAATCAATAAAGTGAATGAATGGAAAAAAAGTTACAAATGTAATAAGAAACATAAATAGTATGGTATAGTATAGTTACTACATAATATACTGGATTATTATGTAGAGGTATTTTGGTTCCAGTTGGCGCTTCTCATGACTGGGTTAAAGTTTTCTGCATTAAATAGTTGAGACTAAATCACCAATTACCTATAAGAGAACAGAAAAAAATGCTGGTTTCCATTTTATCTTGTTAAACCTCCTTTCAGTAGAAACAGTGTGACAACAAAGTGGTTTTAAAAAAGTCATAACATCCAACCTGCAGTGACCTTATTCTCCAAATAAAAACGATCGATCGTCTCTCTCTAACTCCCACTTTAAAAGACTTATTGTGGAGCTCCATTTCATCTAATCACTTGGCAAAAGAGTCCATGGTCTAAAAAAAGAAAGAGTAAATAATAAAGTCTTTGGGCCAACGTGTTGCTCTCACCTTTGCAGATGAAATTACCCGAAAAGCTGTTACAAATCAATATAATCAATGCAATCAGCTAACTGACACAGGCAATCTCCTGCCAGTAAGTAAAAAAAAAAGCCCTGGTGGAGATCCTTCAATCTCACGCGCTATAATTGCCCCCAAGGGTGACGTTAGGGTGTAGCATTTTGTACACTTAATTAAATTAGCGTGGCGCGTGGACAGGGTGGTTTGCAGATTTCAAAGCAGGACGGATAGGTCTGGAGCAGAGCCAGTAATTAAGGCAATACCTTTACTGATTACGCCAATCCCCTTTAATGAAGCCATTATGCATTTTAACCCAAACACTCCCATGAATTAACAAGTGCCACTGGAAAACACAAGTCGTAACTCATCGACAAAACAGTGCAGACGTAATGTTCCTATTTCTCTGAGAGTAATTTAGACTTGACGGACAGCAAAAGTTCAGTCCATTCACATAAACTTTAAAGCTTTGGAGTCTATTGTCAAACTATGGAAACTTTACAAGCAGTTTTAACAAGGTCCAACTCAAATCATGTCTGAAAAGTTTTGAGTGCTACACAAACATGAAACGCGTATAATGATTTAGTAAGACCCAGGGGCACAGGAGGAAGCCAGCCGTTCAGCACTGACCTATAATGCTTTGCTAATTAAATAATTCGCTAATTGATTCATTGCCAAATCGATAAAGCTTCCAGATGGTTTATGGGTTGAGAGCTTAAGTGTGCTGTGTATGTATTTGAGAACAGTGATGGGAGGAGGGCCTTGGTTGCCGGGGTCTCCAGGCAAGAAAAGGCAAATGCAATCATGTAGCACTGCTCAGTTATGAGAAAATAATAGTGACGATTATTCGAAATTGCGATTACAAAAAAAAAATAAAAAAATCTTTGCTTAGAAAGGAGTTGGGGCATCAGTATTCCTACAATAAAGAGAACAAAATATTGAATTACATTAGATGATGCCATTCACAGAAATAGACTGTTGTAAACTCATAGAAAGCTACAATCCAAGAGCAACTTTTCAAAAGTGTAACTGAACATGCTTAAGAGTTAATTTGAATAATCCCGATTATAGCAATAATCATGACCTACACTATTGTTTTATGTAAAATTGTAAAAGGGGAAAAAGTTACGGTTAAATGTTGCAGGGTGTTTTAATGATTACGATCATGATTATTATAAGTAGTTTGTTTGCAGCATTGTCCCAAACTCTGCATTATCCCACCATGTCAATAATTTGCTGAATGTCTCTCCCTTCTCTTCCCCTACATTTTACACAAAGCACGATGCAGTCAAAAGCCTATAAACAAGGTCTCAGTGAGGTTCAGATTTAATTAATGAAGAAATCAGAAAATATTTTAAGGTAGACTTGCAGCATCACTGAAAATGTAGTAAGTTACAGTGACATGTCCTCTGGTACTGAATGATTTTGTAATATCTATTGTTATTAAAAAAAGCGATATAATAATACATTTGCCTGTGCCCATAAATAAATTACACCTGTCATGTTGTGATGTACTGGGGGAGGCAATATCATAAAAAGTTAATTTCAGTACTTTGTACAGCATAGATCAAAATTGTGTCTCAATTCAAGTGTACTTCTTTATATAAAGCCTTTAGGAGATAAGACCATCCATACACAACTAGTACCAGTGCACAGACTGAATATTGTATTCTATAAACACAAATTGCATAAGGTAAAGAATTATCCAAATGTTTTTAGTAAGCATTGTAAAAATAGGACTGTAATATTATGAGGCATTTTGGGTGAACTCTGGCTAGTAAATTACAAAAATTTTACAGACCAAAATGGGAATCTTGGAAGTCGATATTTGATTCACCAAAATTTTCAATATCAATGCCAATATCCAATACTGATATTGTACTGGTGCAACCCTACCAATGACTGAAACCTTATCACATTTAATTTCTTAACCATAAAGAGAATCAGAACAATTCAAATGCAAACCTTTAATTTGTCATCAGTATTAGCATACAAGTACACAACAAAGTCATGTGACATATCCAATTGTCAATTAGCATTAGGTTATGCTTTCAACAGTCATATGTACAATTTTACCAACAAGTGTGTTTTAAGGTCCAAGTCCCTATCATAAAAAGCATTAATTAATAATTAAATGCCCCATATCACTAACCATCAGATTTTAAAAACATACTACTGAGATTTGAATGAACCCTGAGAAAACTAAAGTCACACAAAACAATAATTATTATATTTCAGGAATAAAAGAGTTTAAAAAAAAAAGTAAGTATATATTGAATTTGAGGCTAGGTTCTTACTATAATCTTGTTGTGTTGCATGTGCAAAATACAAAAGTGTGGTCTGCGGTTATTATTGAGACATTCAAGGTGTTCCTATTTGAACAATACAAATGATCAAATGCATTTTACATAAACATATTCAAAATCTGTGTGAACTGATTAGTTTCCTGACAGTAACGTCCTTACTCTATGGCAAACGTGATGATATAGCCCCACCATGTGTTTAAAAGCAGCACTGCACATGAAAAGTGCACTAGAAATTAAAAAATAAATACACATTTAAAACTCCTTAATTTTAACAGGGAATGCAAATTGTGTAAAAATGTTTAGGTCACTTCAATAAAGGATAAGAGGTAATGCTTTCATAAAATAATTAACAAATCACAAAAAAAATAACATCAATAAAACAAATAGCACTTAAAGTTAAAAACCTAAGGCTGTAATTATAGGCAATACAAAAAGTACCATCAATATCCACCATTCTTAAAATTAATTGCAAATTTAAAAGCAGCCGCCATGATAATCATATTAGACCAAAACTAGTTCACTCCGTGTGCACTGTACCAACTGCTAAAATGTGTTTTAACAGGAAACAAGAGGTATGAAGGTGCAAAGAGCTGCATCAGACCATGTTGGTTTGAGTGTTAGGGCTGCGGCTCTGCAGGTCCTGTACCTGGTCCAGGACCCAGCTGATGTTTGGTCTCTCCTGAGGGTTCGTCACCATGATGGAACTCAGCAGAACTTTCAGGCCCTCAGAGTAACTGCAAACAAGATAAATGTACAATTAAATGCATGTTTTACGCAGTACTAGTTATGTCTTATATACAGTACATAGTACAATAATTGTATCATTTTATTTTGTCCTGAATTTTGATGGCAAAGAGCTAGTTTATTCAATTGCTTTCAGCCATTACCACATATTGTACATACATAGATATTCTGCAGCTGCTCAGCACCTTGACAAAAACAATTCTGCTTTATATGTTTTTTTATGGGGAATTTATATGTTAATCTAGTACATTTTAAAAAATACACGTTTGAGACTGACCGGCAGGACTGTGGAACGGTCACTGGGTTCTGCACAGCGAGGGCCACACTGTCGCCCTTTTGAAAAATGAGGTCATAAGGTCCCTCCTGCATCATCATACAGTACAGCACACAGCCGAGTGACTGCAGGGACACAAGAGAGAGAATACACATATGAGATGTGTTTTTTAATTATATTTACAGTCATGTTAACAAGACTTTACCCAGATATCAGTGCGCTCGTCAATAATGCAGTGGCTCTCCACATTGAAGAGTTCAGGAGCTCTGTAGGAAATAGTACACCTCTGTGCTGCCCAGTCCTGAACGCTCATTGCCTCCCTGCTTCCTCTGACCTGGATAAAGACAATAAAATAATTACACACTTGCAAGTGGATAATATATAATCATATAATGATAATAGTATTAATATAACTTGTTATACATGTGACTGACTGAACAGTAACCAGTTAGCTGAAATGATCACTTTTTTATTACTGATATTCACCTCTATCCTGGCTCGGTTCATTGACCCTAGATCCATCAATACTGGCTTGTCATTTTCATCCAGGAGCACATTGGTAGGTTTAATGTCTCTGCCATTCACAAAACAAGGCAATAACATTAAATGCTATGAAAGTTGGAGATTATTTTGTATCAAAGCACAGTTATCCTTAAATGTGGATGCATTTACCTGTGTGCATAGCCCCGCTCATGGATCGCCTTAAGTCCAGCACAGATGCCTCGAAAAATTTGCAGAATTTGTTTTTCAGGCATTAAACTTCCTTTGTCTCTCAGTTTTTCAAGAACTGACCACAAACTTCCCTTCTGTTCAGGTAAATAAACACATCTACTTTAAGCTCATGTACATTTATTATTTAGTTATTTTTAGTAGACATTTGTGGTATGACTTACACTCATGTAAGGTAGGAGTAGCCACGCTTCAGTTTTGCCAGCACGTTCGACAAAGGCATGTGCCACCAGACTCAAGATGTTTGGATGGTTAAACATTTGGTGCATCTCAATCTCTGTCTGTGCATCCTGCCGCCCCTCACGATCATGGCACAAGATCCTCTTCAGGGCATAAAAGTGCCCATCTTTTACACCTTCCACCAGATCCACATAACTGAAGCCACTGAAAAAGGGACAGAGAAAACATCAACAATAGAAAAGGCGAGGTTTAAAGTATATTGCAATAGTATGTGCTTCAGAAGTAATAATGAATAGATCATATCTTACTCACCCTTCATCTAGCTTCTGAACAAAGTAGTATTTCTTGTTGTCAACTGTGACGGACCCACGGGCGCAAATGCACATAGTCTGTCCCATAGCGACTACTGCATTGCTGAGCATCAAACTTTAAAAACCTACACAGAAGACAACATTCAATGACAATTATGTACCTGGTTAAAATGCCATGGTGTAATGATGAGTTCTTTCTTGCTCATTGTCCAAACAGCTGTCAGGTTGTTGCTAAATGTTGTGTTGCACTATAGTGGTCTGGAATCATGAAAGTATCTCAAATAAGTACATCAGTGGCAAATGTAGTAAATTACCAAATCACATACTTTGGTGCACAGGTATTTTGGTAACCTGGATCGGGCATATACATCAGTTTAAAAACATTCCTTACCTCTTATTTTCATGATTCGAGCTTTGTTTTCTCAGTTAGCTTCGACTAGCGGCTGGGCTAATCATCTTCTTCGTTGGTTATAAACAAAGCACATGCCCCACAGCGCCAGAATAACACTAGCGGCGTTAGTGGGTATTGTGAAAGGGAAGCTATGGCGGATCATAAACGAAACAGATGGGGTCCTAAGGCCGACGGAGGTGATATTTAAGCTCTTCTGAATACCTAGATGCGTTAGATATGGTTGCTATAAATGCGCGTTTTTATTTTCATGTGGAAATAATGTGGATCACATAACATAACAATAATAGACTCGGAAAACGTATAAAAATTCTTCTAAGCTAACATGCTAATGCTAACACATACAACTCGAAACTGTCTTACAAGTTACAACATTATGTGCGCTTTATGATATATGGATTTGACGCATTTTCATTATTGAATACATAACATGGACAATTAGCCTCACATAAAATTTTTTGCATTTAAAAAATATTACATCAAAGAATGACAACAACATTCAAGCTATGATGATTTACTACAGACTTGTTTACACACATGAAGAAAGGTTTGCACACCATATTTAAGGCACAACATTTGTTCCATGGTTCACTGCAAATATTAGATTTAGCCCCACAGGTAAAGTTTAATCGTTTGTTATTCTGTAGCTCCCTGAAAACAGTTGTTCATCTGGTTGAGTTGTCTCGCCTCAAGCAGGGTCGCAGGAGGAGGGAGACAGAGTGAAAACTAAGCCTGTCTCTTGTAGCACTGTGGGGACCGCCGCCAAGCGCACATCGCAGCATCTTTCCTCCAGTGATGAAGAGGAGGGCTCAGCCGACCCACCGGTGCCACCAAAAGTCTCCAAAATTGGTTTTAACCTGAGTGGTCAGATTGGGAAGAAATCTAACAACCCCATATCCATCAAACTTGGAGCATCTGTAAGATTTGGGGTCATGGGGCAGTGCTATCATTTTTATTATTATTCTGTGATTTTAATGGTAACCTGAATGATATATGTTATATTTCTTTTGTTTGATAGAAACCTAAAGAACCTGTTTCTACAGTTCCTCCTAAAAAGGTTGGGCTTGCGTCAGTGTTCAATGAAGACGATGATGTAGGTGCACACTGGATAGTTTCTCTGCTAATTTAAAGTATTTTTCCGATTGACTCATATCTCTTTCAACGCAGAGTGAACCAGAGGAAATGCCACCTGAGGCAAAGATGAGAATGAAGAACATTGGCAGGTATTGTTTTCATTAATTTATCACAAAGGCATAAAGTGATTATGTTTAAAAGAGAAAGAATGTTATTAAACGAAACTATATTTTTCTATTCCCTAATATTGTGACTATAACCTATTTAATTTCAGAGAAACACCGACATCTGCAGGGCCTAACTCCTTCAACAAAGGAAAGCAGGGTTTCTCTGACAATCAGAAGCTTTGGGAGAGGAAGCTAAAGGCCCATGCAGAGGATGAAAACTAATTAACAACAGTGCAGTAGTTTTAATAAGTTGTCATTGAGAAATACAGGACTGGCTGGGTTTCATCAGCTTATGTCTGTTTGGACACTTTTGATTGTTCATTTCAACTCAATCACTGCTTCAAGATTATTCTGCAGTGACATCTTGTCTTGAGATGTAGAAGGTACATTTGTGTGTAACCTGTTTATCTCCCCAGGCTCTAATATGATTACAGTAGATATTACATCCATGTCCTGTATCTTTAGACTGATATTAGCTCACCCAGAGAAAATTCTGTTTAATGTATGTGTGAAAATGTACATAGTGTGACTTTTTTATTTCCAAGTTCAACAAAGTGGGACAAACATGAATATTTGTACAGTATAATTACTGTTCAATATCAGATGTTTTTAAAGGTTAATTTCACTTACTATGCCACACTTTTATGCTATGGATTTGTTGTAGTCTTATGCATTTATTCTTTTGTTTATTGATCAATACACCCCCAAAAACTTTTACCTACAAACCTAGTTGGAGAGTTGATTATAAAATATGATGTCCACAATAAGACTCTTTACATAAGCTGTAGGGCTTAGAAGGGGGAATTCTTTCAGCCTGTTTGTACTAGTTTAGGTCATGAGTTCAAATTAAAGTAATGAGGAAATCTAACTTGTTACAATCACTCTTCTGAAATATGTTTATAATAAAATAAAACATCGTGAAAACATTTGTGATGCTGGTATTCCCAATTTCCATCCATCCATCTATCTATTTTCTTCCACTTATCCGGGGCTGGGTTGCAGGGCAGCAGTCTAAGCATGGACTCCCAGACTTCCTTCACCCCAGACACGTCCTCCAGCTCCTGGGGGACCCCAAAGTGTTCCCAGGCCAGCCGAGAGACATAGTCCCACCAGCGTGTCCTGGGTCTTCCCCAGGGCCTCCTCCCGGTGGGACATGCCCGGAACATCTCCCGAGGGAGGCGCCCAGGCATTACATTATTATAGGTATTCCCAATTTCCTCTAAAGAACATGCATAAATTAGTTTGGAGCTTTTAATTTTTAGTTCCACTGTGCTTTAGTTAGTAAAACTGGAATATGAGCTTCACTGAGATTTACTTTTCATGCTAGGGCTGAACGATATGATAAAGTTAATCCAGATTGTCTTCCTTTTTATTTATCTTGAAAGATGACCACTGACAGCAATTTATTTGTTCTGATCATACAGAAAAATCCCGCACACTGTCTCGTTTCGGCCGAAACGTTGCACGGTTTGTCCTAATAAATTTCACAGTTTGCAAGTAAGACGGTGTGCGGGATTTTTCTGTATGTTCTGGGGCTGCTCCCTCTCCTCCAACGCGCCCGTCTCTAGTAGTTGATGTGCGAGGCTCTCATTCTCTCATTTGTTCAGATCAAAAACTAATAAAAATATCTTTCAAATTGAACATAAACAATGCAGACTTAATAAAAAAAAAATCTTCCAAGGCTGAATTCTGCTCCACCACATACTTTTAATCACAGAGAATTGGCTGTACACTTCTCCATTAAAAAGACTTAAGATGATCATTGCTGATTAGAAATGATTGAATCTTGATTAAAAATCTATTAAAATTATATATTAACTGCACAGCCCCAAATTATACACATTTCCATAAAATGTAGAAATGTCAATTGAGCTGTGGAAATTTCCTTGACTTGCGATAAATCTGGGTTTTTAAAAAGAAGTACCATTCATTTCTGAAGAGAGGAGAGTCTTTGACGGGGCATGGCTTTCCTCAAACACCTCCAGAAGTCAGTGTTTTTTGCAGATGTAAATTTGAGAGCTGGTAGAACTTTTAAAGCTTTTTGAATGACAACAGGAAGTGGTGGGTCCAACTGTGGCAAGGAAACGGGGGCCTTTTTTGTCCATATTAGCTGCAGTTTGAAGCCGGAGTTTTGCAGCAGCGCCTAAAGGTGTGAAAACAAAACCACAATCATTTCAAAAACAAAATGAAACACAGATTTTTGTTTTCCAGTGAAAGTCGCGATGTACATGTTAAAGTTAAACGAAACAACAAACGTTTGTGGTCATATTCTTTGTTATGTAATACAAGATTGTACATCATTGAAGAACTGTGCGTACCTGTACTCCTGATTCTAGCACAAATACAGCATTGTTGTCTGAGAAGTATTCAGCCGACAGAAGACAGATCAGCATCTGGCTTTTTTGAATAGCATTCATCACGTCCTTAGTGTAAGCTGCAAGATTTAACAAATAATGAGTTAACAACAATGATAAAAAAAAATATATATATATATATATATTTCTAAGTAGCCTATTCACATTCACATAATTAATTAAATTGTTTGCAGACATTAATATTATTTATTAATTTCAATTATTTATTATTACCTAAACTACAAACCTCCAATGGTCAGGGTTTATAAAATAATAAACTTCAAATTCAGTTACTAATGGACTAATTGGAGAGGTGTTGGTGTCCTTGCCCTGTAATTTTTTAAATAACCAACTTTTCCTGTTTTCTGATTAACTGACTGCAATGCAATAAATAAAGTGGCCCTCTTAAGCCAGTCACAGCAGTCTGGCAAAATTATTTTGATTGGAGAGATTAAATAGGTATATATATAAATGTACATTGGGTGATATTTGGCTCTTTGGTAGTAACACTTAACATCTATTCATCCAAAATAACCCAACGAAACCCTGTCTCTGTGCAACACTGACCTCCCCCTGGCAGGAAGTCCCGGTCCAACAGGCAGAGGCGATACCCCCACTGGTCCTCCAACACATGGGGGAGGAGCAGCTCCAGTCTCTCTGAAGGCACTTCCACTTGGAGAGGGTCCAAACAGAATGGGAATAGGTCATCTAAAAATGACATCTGTAAATTATCAACCTGATTACAAAAAGCATATTTACATTGTAGTGCTGTGACCTACCGTGGTTGTGTCTCAGAGGAGAAGAAACCATCTCCATAGATGTGGTACTCCACACATTTGATAAAAATACATCAAAGTCTTTGTGACCTGATTAAGAAACATTTGAATGAATGCACAGACCATATTGTACTTGTATGAGGTATTGTAAAAGGTATGTTGACATATTGGCAGTAATGGGAAGAATACTGAGAATGTATTTAGTTACAGAATACTGAATACCTACATTAAACTGTATTTTGTAACATACAAAATGAATTTATAAAGCACAGTTTCAGGACCCTGCCATCAATACGAGCATTCATGATCCTGTTTAGGTGTTTGATTTTCAATAAAAAGGTGACAGGACTAACTGAAAACTGTTGGCCAGTGCTAACTAGCTTGTGACTTTAATTTTATGTGTAAGAGACTTTTTTAAGAGGACAAATCATGTTCTTTCTGGTCAGATTGTGTTAAAATAAAGCTCAGACTAAAGTCTAACAGAGCCTCAGACAAATCAGTGCCTCCAGTTAGCATTCCCAGTATCACCTCACCTACATCTGCTTTATCAAAAGTCCAGCGGGATTTCAGAATGAGCTGTATCTCCAGCCACTTCACACGCACAACAATCCCCAGACCTGACACAAACAGTATTGGTCCCAAAGTGTATTCAATCAGAGATGACCATTCTACTATAACATAAAAAGCACATAATTATTACATTTATTTACCAAAGAAAAGTAAAGTTGCACTGTGTAACTTTTCAGGCAGAGGGCCCGCCACTTGTCTCTGTGGAGATGCTATTGCTTTACCTTCAGTATTCCAAAGTATAGCATTAAACTTTTCAGTCTCAGTTTGTAACTGAAATACATCTTATATAAATTTAATACAGTATCATATATAAAGGCAAAGTGGCAGTATCTCCAAAGTAGTGGACCCCCATCTGAAAATGTATGCAGTGCACCTTTAACCTAGTAAAACTGCTTACTTTTATTGTTCTTCTTGAGGTAGATTGTTGCACTGTCATTTCCAGATGTGTTTTGGGCAATGCAGATGTATGTTCTGTTTATGTCCTGGGATGTCACCTGTTCAATCACGGCTTTTCCAATGACCCGAAGCTCCACTTTAACTCTCTCTGAATCACTCACTCTGAATCAGAAAAAAACACATTTTTATTAAAACATTTTCATTTAAGAATGTGAGATTATAGTGGCTGTGCTTTATACTCTTCATTTTCGATCTCCTCCATTGTCATGTTCTTTAAATAGCCATTGTTTTTCAGGAACCACTGGATGGCTCCTGGTGGATCTGCCTCAGGAAAATCCACCACACATCTTAGTGTATAATTCAAACCTATTTTTCAGAACAGAAAGAACGGTCATGATAAATGGTTACATTTTTATATAGCTTTTTTGTGTCAGTGGATCTGACCACTCTATGTTTACGCCAAGAGCAGCATTTGAACCGCCAACCTTCAAATCAGCGGACAAATGCTCTGAACTACTGTCACCCTGTTAAAGGACACTTCACTTTTTAGAACTTAAAATAACAATGCATCTGCATTGGATTTCGTTGTAGCACTCCATCTCAGCAATGGTAATGAATCATGAAAAAACATTCACTAAGCATTGCAGTCCGCGTGGTAATACAGGCATGCAGTCGTAATGAATGTAATTTGACGGTAGAAATGCTCAGAACGAGGCTGATTGTGGACTTAAAAACAATACAGGAGACTTAAAAAAATTTCCTGTGACACAATAATCCAGATAAATTTTTAAGTGATTTCTGAGACTCAGTGAAAGACCTCTTCAGGATTCATGGAACAAGTGAGAATGAAGCACAACACAGGTGATGTATGTCTTTGATGAGGGAACATTTACACGGATTATTATAGTATGGATAAAGGCTCGAAAAAGACATACACAATAACCTGTGTCTATTTTCACTATTTTACTGCTACTATATTATAAAGAAACATACCCAGCTCCGCCTCTTGTACTGAGTTATTCTCTGGACGCAGGATTCTTGGAGGGTATATACCACGATCTAATGTCACAAACAAAACAAGTTTAAAGTTTAAAGTGGGGTTAAAGTGAGTAAATCAGTACTTTTATATAAAAGTAGTAGTCTGATACATGCATTTGTAATTATTTTAATGGTTTCATAATGTTAGCATGTTCTAGCTTAGGCTATAAACTAAATATAAGGTTACACTGATCAATATTAGAACAAGATTCACTCAGTTTCTTATGCCACAGTGGTTTCAAAAAGGTGTATAGCACATATATACATGTATTAGGGCATAACCACAGAAGTGAAAACAAGGAAGCCTGTGGTTTTGGGGTTGGCAACCAAAATGTCATGAACTAGATTATGTACCTTACATGCTTTATTTGCCCAGTACAGTACTTATCAACATGATTACACATTTGCCCATAACAGACTTACGTAAAGCCTTTACGGTGATAGAGCTCCTGATGGTCCAGTTAACCCCTCTCTCTCTCAGATCTCGGTCACAGAAGAACACACCATTGTGATGTTTCTGTACTGTGTGTAGGCAATGGTGTCCAGTGGGGCAAGATATTTTTCTTTTTGACTTAGACACAGTCCTGTTTCCCTGTTAAAAACAAACAAACAAACAAACAAACAAACAAATAAAAAGATCAGATAGATAACCACAAATGTAATACTCACAGTTGAATATGTTAATTTCTCCAAAGTCTCCAAAGTCTCTAAATGATTTCATAACAGTCTCCAGATGATATAATATGAAAGAATGAATAAAAATAATAATTTACATGAAAAAGAAATATATAGACACCCTTGACAGCAGTCACACTAAAGAAATTATCATCAATTTCCAGAGATACAGGCCAGACCACATCACTAACACAGGACATATCTAATGATGTAACAGTGATGTGATTTATATTACATAAAAGGCCCATATTATGCAATTTTCTGATCTCTGTCATACTGTTGTCTCCTCATCACAAATCCAGAGTTGTGTTTTGTCTCATTGGCACCTGTTTAACACGCAAACCCCACTTATTTAGCCTGAGTGTTTTGAGAACAGAAATCATCTTGTGAAGCCACGTGATAATACAGGAAGTGCTCCACTGTGTTTTTAAACTCCATACACTGTCATTAGAATCATTTACATCATTTCCGTCCTGGAATTGCTAATCTCTATAGAACAAAAGGCTCTTAACTTTAAAACTACTGCTTCATAACATCACGAGGTTGATGAGCTTTGGAGATGTAGACCATAGACTGAAATTTCAGGATTACTCAATGTGTGAATGAAACAAAACACAACACCAGGTATGTTTTTGAGGCCGTAACAGCATTTTAACATGGCTTAACGCTCACAAGAGTCAATTTTGTGTAATGTAGGCTTTTTAATACATTTCTATATGTGTCTATACCTTGTACCAGACAGTGCTGGTGCTGTTGCCGCAGCTGTGCCCTGGACATATGATTTGTCCTCGAATTCCGATATACAGTGTCACTCTGCTCTTCTCGGCACTCCAACATCCCAATGTGTTATCAACAACCTGGAGATGGAGGACCTGCCAACCACCACTGCACAACACAGATACATTTAAAATAAACTCTTGAAGTTATACATTATTACAGCAGTTAACCATAGCAACAGCCTAACCTATCAACTGTGAGTTACACTTTATTTAAAGGAAGGTAACTTTTAAGATGAGGGGACCCCCACCCGCCAAGTCCTTGCTCCAGGTATTCATGGATCAGAGTCATTCCCGTCTTCACAAGAAGGTCCACAGCATCTGGGCCTTTCAAAACCTTAGACTACTACCATCATCTGCACTGGTAAGGAGCAATGTTCAGTCAACATTAGGAGAACTCCTCACTGTTTTAAATTGAAGCTATAAAAAAATAACTTTCTGATGTGTGACTTGTACTTAGGCCTGGAGATGTCAACTGCTTGTCTCCATGGAGAAGTTTAATGCCATACTATGGAACATTGCAGCTAAAGCAATTACATCTCCATGGAGACAAGCAGATAACATACCCTCCAACAGAAAAGTTACATTGTGCCCCTTTAGTTAAAGTTCGAAAGGTTGAGTGTGGTCATATTGTCAGACTCTAATCTCCACTTGTTTAAAACTTGAGTAACGATCACTCAGTCAACAATAAAATATCCTGATTTAATGTTCAAAAATGGTCAAATCCACCTTTATTTTGTGATTTCCAAATAATGTCTATTGACTTGGGTCGCAAAGGTTTGTGACTTTTAAAATATGGTTCCCTAGAAAAAAAAGTTTGGGAAACACTGCCTTAGATCATAGAAATACTGTTGAACATTCACAACACAAAATAATTACAAAAGTAACATTGTGCACCTTTAAATAGAATATCAACTATTAAAAACTTCTTGTGAAATGTCTTCAGCTTGTAACAATCTAGTCAACTTCTCGAAACCCTTGGTACTTGTTACTCTGATGACTGGGGATTACTCAATAAAATAAAAACAATAACTTTTACCTCTCTGTGCTTCTCAGAGTGCAGAGAGTTAAAGTTGAGTGATGTTTCCTACAGTATAATGTTTAAATGTTGAAAATATGTATGGCATTACACAGATTTTTACACATTTATTGAAGTTATTTACCTGGTTAGACATGTGTAATTTCCTGAGTGTGCTACTTCAGCTTTGAACTGAGCAAAGCTGTTCTCAGTCACTGCAGACATCTCCTGTTCAATCCTTGTCCACTTCTTACATGGCATCATAAACACTTCTCCATTGATAGTTTTGTAGTGCATTGTTGGTGAGGGCTCCTGATGAAGATCTGTGTTCAATAAATAAATACATACATAATATTTAGACTTTTAAACATTCAAAGTTTACTTAAAAATCTTACCTTTGCACACTGTCAAAGAGACACAGGCTAAACAAAGCATAATAATGTTCATTTTTGCTGGAACATATCAGTACTTGCTCATGTCAAAACAACCATCTCCATCTGACAAAATTTTCCATCTGTAGTATTAGCAGCAACAGGTCTAACAGTTCAAAGACAAACATCTTTCATCACTGTGTTGAGACTCAAACCACTTCCTATTACAAAAGCATACCCTCGTGTGCGTCAAGTAAAAATACGTGGTTATCGTAGCCAAGTTTTGTTTTACTCATGCTGTTTTCAGAAAGGCCATGTAACTGCTTCCAGGTTGGGTGACTTTAACCAACATCTGCATGAGAAATACGCTTTCATCATTGTTTAAATATAGAAAGACTAGGAAGAGTACATCACACGAAAACCATCTATATTGTAATGTAATATGTAATGCTAAATCAGTGCTACCTGATGAATCTTCAAAGTCATAGTGTTTGTTGGCCCTGTCCTCTTGTGACCAGAATTAGTATATATTGCCCTATCTGGCAATGGCAAATATATGCTATATAGTTGATTCAAATACAAATATAAATAGATAAGAACTAATGTATTAGCCCAACTTGAACTGCATTTCTCCAGAGTAGATTCTCAACCATAATTTTCCAGATTATATTGGTAAAAATAGAAAATATATGCAAAGTCCAGACTCTAGACCCAAATTTGTAGCCTTTTTAGCCTTTGTAGAATGATGTGACAACAGTCTCCGAGATCTAAATAAATACATACTTAAGTTGTCTGAGTAAAAATATTGTATAAAATAAGTCATGCTAACAGCTTCTTTCCACAAGCTGTTATACGTTTGAACAATGCACTTTGAACTTTGACGTAGCAATTTAATATTTTAGATACTTAATCTTTGTATCTTTATTTCACAGTGAAAATGTTGTCTGTAATGATTGTCTATGGATTGTTCATGTTGTTGTGTCTCATGGTGCACTTTGAGCTTTTTACACACGTTTTTTTCCTATGTCTTTTTAACTACAAATGGCAAATAAACTAACCTAACTTAGATTGTACATGTTGACAAACCCTTTGATAACTAAACACAGAAAAATACAAACAAAATGAAAATCATTAAGACTGTAGAATTAAACACGTTTTAGTTAAATGTTAGTTCAATATTTATTTGACATACATAAATACACACATTATGAGGCAATACTGCATTTGGGCTCAAAAAGGTGTAGGAAAAGTAAAGTAGTTGATTCCTATCGATATGAGTGGTTTTCAGATTACAGAATGCTGTGATGTCAAACCCAACAATTAAAATGCCATTATTAGTCAGTCATAACTGTACATTCAGCTTCATACCTACAACAAAATAATATCACACACATAACACTTTTTTTTTTCTTTTTACATTTTTTTTTCTTTAGTAAAGTTCAGATGTTTCACCATTCATAATGCCATTAATGAATTAATTCTGATTATCACTGAAAGCCGTTTTTGGACAAGCAAAAGTCTTTAGGGTCAGATTGTAAATAAAGCTCATATTTAAGTTTAATATGAGTAGGCCAGAGCTTCAGACAGAGCAATGCCTCCAATGCCTGGCACAGACAGGAAATATTGATAGCATCTGTTGCACATTATAAATGACTACTGGGGTAACAGTGGTATCCTGTGAGGCTCTTTTACAGGTGGGAGGTGATATCTCAGTTCTTTCCAGAAGAAAGATGACAAAGCAAGCGACCCTTCCCATGTGACACAGTTTCCCATATCCGTGAGCATCTGTAAGGTCTCTGACTGTACGATTGCCTCTGTTTTTTCTGTGGGTTTATTTTTGATGAAAACCAGGCGGGTCTGGCGTTCCACCAGGGCTTTGTGGATGGCACTGAGGAGAGCAGACTCAAAGGTGAGATCTGGAGATGAGGGGGTCAAGATCACTGCATGGCTCTGCTCCACACACTCCAACACTGCATCAGCTATAGCTGTAACAAACAAGCAGAGTGACTGACAATGAAACAGTCAGCCCCATTGATGCTTTGCAGTGACATCATTCTGGGGGTCAGGGGAGTAGACAGGGCTGAGACAAAGGGGTCTGTTGGTCTGGAGGAATATTTATCAATTACCATCATGAAACAATGCACACATTACCAAACACTGAAAAAAGTATTTAGATAGTCTAAAAACACTGTTAGGAAGAGCATGTAATTTGAATACCTCTGTCCTTCAGTTGTCCAGTTAGGTTCCTTAGCAAAAGAAAATTAAATTCTATTATTGGGGCAAAAGTTCTAGACAGAAGATTGTGTGGCTTCTTGAGGTTCATGTGGTTTGGAGCAAAAATCAAAATTGTTGGATGCATTTACAGTTTGTTTATTGTTATTGTTTTATGGGCTATGGTGTTTATTTTTTTACCAAGAAAAGTAAAAAAAAAAGAAAAAAAGTGTCTAAATTGTCATCTTTATATGTGCAGCACTTTGGACACAGTTTTGTTTATAAAATGTGCTGTAGAAATAAAGTGGATTGTACTAATAGTAAAAAATATACATATATTAGGGCCGGGCACGTTAACGCGTTAACTAATTAAGTCATTAACGCCGACAATTATTTTAATGCCGTTAACGCAGTTTTTATTATTTATTTTATTGTAAACGTCTGTTTCTCACTGGCTTTTATTTTGAAAAAGTCCACCGCGAGCGTTTCTTTATGTTTGACGTCTTTTCTTTACACTTTTTTCACTTTTTTCTGACCACGTGAGATGCAACGTGCCCGAGCCTCAGCGAGCCGCGGGCCCTGAGCTTATTTCTTTAGTTCAGTGCTGGAGTAACTGATTTACCCAGATACCATTGGAAGAAAAAATGTGATTGGTCCATTTCCATTCCATTATATTAAAGGTTGTATAGAGGATTTTCCAAGGAACGAGAAATCCTTTTTCAAATGTTGCGCATGCGTGAAACCACCCCCCCTCCCCTACAGCTCCCTACGTAGAAACGCCTCCTCCTTACGCCAGAAACAGGTTTGTTTACAGCCGGTGCGCTGCACATGACTTGTAAACAACTAACTACAGTGTTGGTTAGGCAAGGCGGAGAAGTGAGGAGCGGGGGGAGCGGGTGTGCGGACATTTCGTGCGCGGACGAGAAGCGAGGAGCAGGGAGAAGAGCAGAGCAGGGAGCAGGGAGAGGAGAGAGGAGAGGGGAGCGGTGCGCGGAGATTCCGTGCCCGGAGAAGTGAGGAGCAGGGGGAAGAGCGGAACGGGCAGCTGGGACAGGAGCAGGAAAGGGGTGAGGAGAAGGTTGCGCGGAGATTCACTGCGAATGAACTAGCTACAACACGCAGCAGCAAGCGGACTCTTTCTTTGCCTTGAAAATTACGTTTTCAGACATAGGATATCGCTTTCGTGTCCTGAAAAACGTTTGACTAGCTCTTGGAAATAAAGTACGTTTTCATATTAAGCAGAAGTGACCTGTCCAGGAGTAATTTTGCGACCAGTGCGTCAGTCTTTAGACCCTGCGTCTGCTTCAGTTGCATCATGGCTTGAATGAATCTTCAAGAATCACCTTAGGCCGGGCGTACACTGTGCGATTTTTTACCCTTTTTGAGCCGATTTTTCGCTCTTGCGACTGTTTTGGGAATCGGACCGAGTTTTGGCATCATCGTATGTCGTGCTTCGTGTAGTTTACATGGGGTAAAGAGAACCGATTAATTACTCACGACCAGCTCCCGATCGACATTCGTAGGTCTCAAGAAAATCAAACTTGTTTGAAATCCAGTCGCCTCTCGTGAGGATTTCGCTCTGTTGAAGTTGTTCCACAAACCGATTTGCCAGAATATGGCAGACTGCGCATGCACGGACGCAGAAGTGGCTCAGCATTGTGTCTCCGCACATCTGTGGTTTTCTACTTCCGGAACAACAACTTTGACAACTTCGGTCGTTATGTGAACGTACAGTGTGAGCAGAAAAGTCGCATCCGAGCATCGGTTCGTTCAGTGTGAGAACATGATTCGTGAGCTGTGAACTGTTAAACCCTGTGATTTGGTCGTTCAGTTTAAGCTGGGGCTGAGTGACACGACCGAAAATATCGCACAGTGTACGCCCGGCATTAGTTTGGCTTAGCTGCTTTTCCCCTTGTCTTCTTCTTTCAGCAATCTCAAAAACGGACTTTCTTTTGCGGCTAACTGCTCCTGGATTCTTGTCTGCCATTGCAACAAACTTTGTGCTAACTGCGAGGAAGATATAGGTAAAAAAAAGCCGCTAAGAACTGTTGTGTTGGTGGAGTAAACAGCGTCTGTGCGGCTTGCGTCTGTGGACTGCGTGACAGACGTACGTAAACCACGTACCGGCGGCGCGCAGGCAAGTCAGTTACGCTAGAAACGTAGGGAGATTGATTGACAGCCTGTCAGCTAACAGATAACGAGGCAGTGTCGTTATCTATTGGCAAATGTTTAGCTGGCCCCACCACGTCCAGAGTTGATGAATTTTTTAGTGCTGTCATGCGATTAAAAAAATTGAGAGATTAATTAATTATGATCTGTAATTAATTAATCTAATTAATCTCATTTTAATCTCACCTAAAAATTGCTGAGAAAAGCCTTCAATTTGAGGTATTTTCATTTAAATTCATTATTACATTATTGTGGCAGATCAAAAGACTAATATAGATTTAAAAAAGTGACTTTATAAAGTCATTTATTGTTTAACAAATCTCTCCAAATTGGCTGTTGAGCCCAAGTCTCCATGAATAAGAAACTGTTTGTTGTAAAGTAGCAAAGACGAGGAAATCTGAACATAATAACTTTTGTCTACTTAAAGACAATAAAAAGTCCAGTCTTTCCTTAACCATATTAAAAATATTATTGATAGAGAAATATATATGAGATCACTGGTTTTAGTCCTGGTTTAGACCTGGTTTAGACCTACTTTAGTCCTAGTTTAGTCCTGGAATGGATTAATCCTGGTTTTAGTCCTGGTGTTAGTTCTGGTTTAGTCCTGGTTTAGACCTGGTTTAGTCCTGGTTTAGACCTGGTTTAGACCTGGTTTAGTCCTGGTTTAGTCCTGGTTTAGACCTGGTTTAGACCTGGTTTAGTCTTGGTTTAGACCTGGTTTAGACCTGGTTTTAGTTCTGGTTTAGTCCTGGTTTAGACCTGGTTTTAGTTCTGGTTTAGTCCTGGTTTAGTCCTGGACTGGGTTAGTCCCGGTTTTAGTCTTGGTGTTAGTTCTGGTTTAGAGGCGCACAGGAGGAAGCGCGGTTTACGCCGCGTACGCGAGAAAACACGGTCCACACGCGGCTCACGGGAGGACAGCGATGTCCGCGCAGTGTCTACGGAAGGAAACGTGGTCCGCGCGTTCTCAGGTTAATGACGATGATGAAGGTGTGTGTTTGTGTTTGTGTGTATTTGTGTGTATTTGTGTGTGTTTGTGTGCGTGTCCCCTCATGTGGCAGGTCACTATAGGACAGTAGTGCAGACATCATGAGCCTATGCAGGTTGTTTTCAGGCGATATTATATTTGTTATTTTCTTTTATATTTCACGTCGGGAGAATAATTTCCAAGACACGAACGTGTTTTTACCTGTGCGCTGCTGACTCTGTTCTACTGGCTCTTCGACCTCGTCCATTGTGCGACTGATGCCGCCAACGTTAACATGACGTTTACGTCGCTGTTACTGCGCGCGTTTTGTGTGAGTTTCCGGCAATGAGTGGAATTGCCGAAATAAAAAAAATGTATAAATGTGTTTTGTGTGTGTGTGTTGTTGTCCCAACAACACATAAAAACAGGTTTTATAATAAAGAAACTCACATACAGAAACACTAAAGTTAGAGATTAAAAATGAGATTAACGCGAAAACATAACGCGCTAAATATGACTGTAATTAATTAATCGCAATTAACGCGATAATTTGACACCCCTAGAATTTTTATTATCTTTTTTTTGGTCATCATAATTACAAGGCTACTGCATCTCTATAATGCTATCATTGACAATTTGAAACAAAAAAAAATCCTCCATACAACCTTTAACCCTAAGAAATATCAATCCAAGTTTATAACACTATCTAGAAATTCTAGAAAAATTCTAGATCTAGAAATGATTACTAGTGTAGTGTTCATTACTCACAGCATAAAAAATATTCAATAAATATATTAGTAGTACAAACGTCCATTCAGTATTTTTTCTTGAGCCTTTCCTGAATACCTTGAAGGCTCTGAGGATTCCCCTGTGAAAGAAATGCTGTTTGCACAACAAATGCATGGCTCTTTCATTTACATTTCCAATAAAAGAGCGCTATACTCTACTTTTTAATTCATTAATTGGTTTTGCGTATAACATGCGATTAATGTCTGCGATTAAATATTTTTTTAAAATCGCAAGTAATTGCATGAGTTCGAGCGATTAATCGCGATTTAAAAAAATATTTTTGCTTATCATATATATTTATCATATTTATCATATTGAAGTGATTTATATCAATGAATCATCACCTTTTCCAGGAAGCACATCACGATCAAAGAGGCAGAGACTGTACCCAAATTTATCCTCTAACACACTCTGCAGAGTTCTTCTGTCATCTTCACTGAGTCCTGGTCCCTGCTCACTCATGTAGTACATTACAAAGGCATCATAGCTCCTTTTATCTAAACAAATAAGAAGAAATGTAGTTTTTTATTGTAGTAAAGGGTGAATTGCTCTCAAATAATCCGTCACCACTAGATCAGGTCATGAGCTACTGCTTACAAATCTTAAACCAGTCTCACAAATCTGCCATACTAGTTTTGAGATACAGAGGTGAGAAAATGAGAAAAATGAAATAATATCTGAAGGAGTGTTGTAAGAAACACAAATGTTAATATTTAATATTGTCAACATAAAGCTTTAGTCACTTGTAGAGTTACTCACAGTGGGAAGAGTAACCAAAAGTAAGAGTAAGAGTTACTTCAATAAAAATATTTTATTATGAAATATTTTATTGTAAAAATACTTTATTATAAGTAGGAGTAAAAGTATGGTGTCTGAAAACTACAACGCATAATTTCTTCTTAAACCTAAAACTCTAAAACTCTTACACTTAACCTCTGGATATGAACTATAAATACTGCAGAGAGGAGGACATAGGCTGTACCTGAAGCTCTGATGTGGCACCCAAAGGTGTCTCTCAGGAACAGAGTGATGTGAATCTTGTATTTAATGTAAATCAGCACAAATATAACCATGACAACAGGGATGACGACAGCAGTACTCGTCATAGCAGCATAAGAGGGGCGCTCTGTGAGAAGAATTGAAAAAAAAAAAATATATATATATATATATATATATATATATATATATATATATATATATATATATATATTTTTTTTTTTTTTTTTTTCAGCTATAAACCAAATTTAAGATAATTTTGGTTCAAACCTTTTAGTGCCAGAGTGATGTTGACACAGACAGGGTGCTGGGATGTAGACTCTAGTTTACAGGTGAAAACTGTGGACAGATCCTCCTTAGAAACTTCTTTAAATATGAGAGAGACTGTAGACTTTTCCCCGTCATCCAAAATCTCACTGGAAACATATTTATTATATATTAAACTGTGAACACATTTTTCATATTTAGTGCAAAGAGTGGAATAAGTATGTTTACTTTGAATTAGAAACGTGCACCCTCGAACTGGCTGATGAGTTTATCGAAAAGTCGTACATTTTCCAGTAAATCTCATGAAAATCTGAAAATATCAGCGCTGTGCAGTTGATCACCAGAGGAGATCCTATAAACAATGCATTTAAATTAAAACATGATGAAACATGTAGTGTAAATGTAGAGTGTAAAATGGGGACATAATGTAAATTCTCACCCAAGTCTACAAAAAATACTTGATTCGGATGTGGTGAGATGATCCCTTCATTTTTAATAGTCTCTGAAAAACAATTAAATAGGAAATGGTCAAATTATATAGTTATTCTATCTCCCATGGACACTCAAAGCTCTTTACACCAAGGAACAACTCACCCATACACACAATAGATATAACAGATATAAATGGACATAACTAACCCATTAGCTATTGCATTTCAGATAGGAAGTGAATATGGGGCCACCTCCGGTCCATCGACTTTGGCTCCAATTGACACTCCCTGTAACTGCTGCAGTGAGCCTCATCATTTTGGTTTTAAAATGTCTGTACTAACCTGCTCCACATGATCATGGTGTTTTTATTTTACTATTTTGTCCATAAATAAATTCCCATTCTTAATATGAAACTAGATTCAAATTTGCCCAATAACTTTATGGGTGATGTCCCACTCCCTTCATCCATTACTTTATACACATGGTAGAACAACACAAAGTCTTAAGAAACATGCATCACATTTGAGCTCTTTACCTTCAGGCTCGAGTTCCAGTGTCACGGTGAATGAAGTGTTATAGACTTGATTACCATACAGAAATGACCTCACACAGATGTAAACACCCCGGTCAGTCTCCTGCACACTTGGGAAGTAATACTTGTCATCTTCTGACAGGATCCTACCATCCTAAAAGAGAGTTAGGAGATGGGGTTGGAGTGAATGACAAATAACAATATAGACATGTTTTGTACGGGAATGAGTGGACCACTAGCCTGAGATCCAAATTAGTTCTCTCCGTACTGATACTTTGCTGTGACATTACGCTGGGGGTGTTTTGCCTGTATCTATATGGTGGAACGTTCACCGTTACCATGGAGACACAATGCACACATTAGCAACCACTGCCAAAGTGTTTTATGATTTAAAAACACAAGCCTGTGATCAATACGAGCATTCACGGTCCTGTTTAGGTGTTTGATTTTCAAAAAAAAAAAGATCGTGTAATGCCTCAGTTGTGCAGGTATCCATAGCAAAGGAGAAATTCAATTCTGTCCCTGGACAAAAGTTCTTTTTGATTGAATAAGTTTCGCAGCTCATGCAGCGACTTCTTCAGTTCTGGTCTTATTCTGGTAATTGCCAACATCAATATGACCAGAACTGAAGAAGCATCTTGGATATGCTGCAAAACATATTCGCTCAAAAATTTCTCCTTTGCTCTAAAAGGTGAGTGACTAACTGAAAAACTATTGGCTACCTATTGGCTTTTCAAGGTTCTTTAATTTGTCTGACAGAATAGTGTTTTCAGCTAGCGTCACACCTCAGGTGCAAAGTATCAATAATCAAAAGAAGATCTCTCAGCCTGGTCACCACCTTCTCCACCTCTTTACGACTCAGGCGGTTTTGAGTTTTGTTTTTTCCTCTCTCTTTTCCTTTTAAGTAGCCGTGCTTGTTTTGAAAATGTCCCTGATTGGCTGATTCATCTTTCGCTCATCTGAATTTTGGGATTTGTCCAGATCATGGATTTATTGTTCTATGGTCCAGACACATCTTTGTAAAGTACTTGAGAAGATGAGTATATGGTCCTTAAGCAAGTGGGACACAACTAGCAGATGAGTAATTTAGAGCTACAATAAGCTACAATATTTTTTAAATAAATAAATACCTGTTGCCATGTGACCCCTTTGCTGGTAAGATCTGGACTGGTCTTTGGAGGAGTGTTGGTGACTGGGCAGTCCAGAGTGCAGGTGTATTCACTAAAGCAGAGCGTTCTGTACTGCGTAACATTCTCACAGTCACCAGTCAGGGTAGTGTACACTCTCAAGTCAAATGTCTTGTTAAATGCACTATTATAACAAGAAAAAAAAATCAATACAAATGAAATGTCATTTAATATCGGTAAAATCATTTAAGTAACAGGCTTTGTGCACATCAGCACCTGGCAACCACACTGTAGTGTCACTACTTCCTGTCCAATTTGATCTCTATGGGGTTTTGCCAGTACACATTAAAATTTATAAATATTTAAAGACAGGCAGTAAACAGGGGGCTGTGGGTGGATGTGACTGACAACATGTTAAAAACACTTCACCAGATAACACCACTTTTGCTTTTGCTTTTAGAAAGCAATGTTAAAGTTAATGTCAATGCTAACGTTAATGCAAAATTTGGGTCATAATAACTATTAAAACATGTTTATTTTATATTTTATGATTTTAATAAAAGTCGATGTTAGCTTTAAGACCTAAGTGCGCTGCTGTGCATAGAGCCACAGTCTGGATGAGACGTTTGGTCAGGTCATATTTTTCTCCATTCTAATATTCTGATATTAGGCATATGAACATATTGTTTTGATTAAATCTGTGTTATTTGCCTACATGGAAGACTTGGTAAATAACATTCTTGTAATAATTATGTTTGTTTGGTTTTTTTACCTATGTGAGCAAGAGTAGTGTCCCTGCTGCTCCTCTGAAGCTCTGAGTAAAACCAGAGTCCCATCAGTGATCAGGAGGTCGCTCTGATTTTTGTTGTGAGGAAGGCTCCAGATCACATTTGGCTTTTGACTGGGACATTGTAGCGCCACCATCTCACCAGACTTTGCACATATCTTCTCCACACTCAGCCCTAAAAGAACCAGAGTTTTTCAGATGTTAGCAAAATCACAGTCAGAGAATTTCAAAGGCTACCTGCTATTTCACTGCACTACAGCCATCGCCATAACATCACCATAGCAACAGGTGAAAATGCTCCACTGCTGTGAGCCGAATGGAGGGACTAGCTTAATTTACGACACTGAAATAACTGATATTTGAGAGATTTACAGACAGTGAATATGCTTTTCAGTTTCACAGATGAGACATTTCAGTTTGTAGCTGTGGTATAAGCACATTAAACAACATGGAGATGTGCATTATGCAGTTTCAATGCACTTGAAACTGCACCACTCGTCATGTGTTAAAACTACATAATGCACTGCTATTTAACGCTTACTTATATTGTGTCTGTATGAAAAACAATAATGAAGTAGAGGTTATGGTTGTACTCAAAATACCAATAAGACAATATATATTGCAGACTTCTTATAGACGCTGTATTGTGATACTTTAAACACGTGGAGATGGCATAAGGGGGACTGGTTATCTTGTCTAATATTACACCTTTGCTCAAGCAGTGACTGCTGTATAATTTGAGTGTTATAAATGCCTAAACAACAAAGAGATGCCTGTATAAACTCCTCATCCTGCTTTTAGATAATTGTTATTCATTATAATTTGACAAATCGAAATTATAATGAATAATTTCTATTCGTAATTAGATTGGCCATGTTGCATTCTCACATAACATCACTAGATGCTTTCTATGTTACTGCTGTCTGACAGGGTGAAAGCTTTGGCCTCACAGAAGAAGACCACAGTGCATAGGTGAGCTTGAAAAAGGCTATCTACTGGTAAAAAAAAAAAAAAGCTGATGGTGACTAGTGCTAGACTAGTGTTAAAGGTGCATTGTGTAACTTCTTTGGTGGACGGTCTATCTGCTTCTCTCCATGGAGATATTGCCTAGAATGTTTCACAGAATGGCATTACACGTATTTTTTTCTATGAAGACATGTAACACTGCAGGGCTGGGTTACATGTCTGATCTGTGGAGAGGCTAGCCCATCCCAGAGTGCATGTTTTTAGGCTGATAAAAAAGATGTTATTGAAATGCAACAATGGATACATTGAATGCCATACTGGGACATTCCAGACTAAACAATAACAGCTCCATGGAGACAAGCAGGTGGCAGACTTTCCTGCCACAAAATTTACACAGTGCACCTTTAAGATTAAATCTGCAGAGCTGCAAAAGCAAGTTATTTATAAGTTAATTGTGTTCTGACATTTAAGGGAATGTTAAACATGAAATTCCAATACATTTTCTTATTCTACATAATAAAAATACCAATGTAATGTTTAGACCGCTTTTCCAAGTATATGCATGTACAGTGTGGTATTGCGAAATACTTGGCAAATACCTAGTCCTATCAGCTTATGAAAGTAGCTGAGGTTTTCTGACTTCCTGTTCTAAAGATATTGCAAAATTAAAAAGAAATACCATAAAAAAAATTAAGCAGGAAATAAAAAATTTGCTTGCATACGTTACACCATACACAACTTTTATTTCTATTGAGTAATACATTTTCATTGCATGATTTTGTTTATCAAATTCTCTTTTTCATGCATCACTTAATGTTTTGTCCTTCCCATTACACTGATTTGATATGATTAATCAGATGTTACAGTTATAATTATTCTTACTCTTAAAGTGCACTGTGCAACTTTTCTGGTGGATGGTCCGCTACCTGCTTGTCTCCATGGAAATACTATTGCTTTGTCTATTGATCCAGCACTACACTACATTACAGTTCAGATCTGTGGAGATTCATCCCTATAACACAAAAGGAATTATTTTATTTTTCAGCAATAGAAAGACCTGTAATGAATAAATGCTAGATGGATATGTTTAATGTCATACCATGGAATATTCCATGCAAAGCAATAACATCTCCATGGAGACAACAGGTATACAAGACCCTCCACCAGAAAAGTTACACAGTGCATATCTATAATATCTTGACAAATACTGTCAAACACTTACCATTGACTGCATAAAGAAACAGCAGAAGGAGCAGAGCTTTCACCATAATGTTGCTGTTGGCTTGTTTCCACTGGTTTGGATCGGTATGATTTATGTCAACAGAAAAGGACTTTTGGAGACTTCCCTGAACCATGCTGTCATCACTGAAATGAAACTAAGGCCATGCTGACAGTTTTTTTTGTAAACACCCACTGAACTTTTGAAGGAAATGACAAATTTAAACCGGGGAAAGGGGCTGTTAAAAATTCTGTGGGGGATTCCTCATTCCTTATGTCCAAGAAACAGGCCATAGTTACTAAAATATTATATATAATTTTTTTAATAGATGCAATGGATGATTATCTTTATTAGCATTTATTTAATTACCTCAAAACATGCAGACATACATTTGTTTGTCTTTCCACTCCACAGAACTTGGCACGGTGACGTCACATAGAGTAAGATATGTTTAATTTTAATGCCATGCTGTGGAACACTCCAGCTAAAGCAGTAACATCTCCATGGAGACAAACAGGTGGCTGACACTCCACCCAAGATGTTTCACCTCTAGGTCTTGTCCTGCTTAAGTGTTCATCAAAACTGAATGTGCCTTAAAGAGCCCATATTACGCTATTTTCTGATCTATGTTATAATGATTCCGCACTCTGTTCCACCTTGTGATGTCATGTGGTAATACAGGACGTACTCCACTGTGTTTTAAACTCCATACACCGTCACTAGTTGTTAATCTGAAATCTAATCATGAAGGATTACCTAAAAAGTGTGAATGAAACAAAACACAACTTCAGGTATGACTTAAAGCTCACAAGAGACAGGATCTTTAATAAATAAAGTTGAATACATTTACATAACAAGAACTCATAATTATGAGTGAATAAATAATGTTGTGAGAGACTAGAAAAGTGCAATATAAGATAATCCATTTATACTATTATTATAAAAGAGCCAGGACCAGGGCGTATCTCAATAAACGGTTCCTCTCATCTCCTTTGTGGTGGCAGGAGGTGGTATAGATCTTTTTTCAATTTAATACAAGTCAGAGCAGCTGCAGCAGTCCCCAACAGTATGACCACAATGGACACACAAAGGACAATAGGAAAATCTGATGTTTCTTGTTCTAAAAAACACAAAAAACTGTAATGAATCACATTTAATGTCAGATTTAATGTCATTCGAACCACCAGGCTGTGGGGTATTGAGAACAATGTGAAGAGTGATCTTTTAAAAACTTTTTTTACTCTTTCTTTCATAAAAAAAAAAAAAAAAAAAAAAAATGCAATTAATCAGAAATGTCCTCAAATGTGCCAGTAAATGTTGTGATTTTTGATATCATTGCCAAATTAAACCATCAAATGCTGATTTAGCACTTTATAGTACCATTGTTTGGATGATTATAGAACCACTTTCTGTTCATGTTTTTTGCTCTTTTGTCAGCTATTTGGCAGTTCTTTTTATAGACAATATACACATTTGCACTTTTTCTAAATAACATTTTTATATAATATTTTTATATTGAAAGATACATAATATTGATACATTGCAGCTGATGTTGTGAACATTCACTGGGAGTATGGCGCTAACTGTGGGCATGCTCTGTCTGAGGATTTGTCAGACTGTAATATGAACTAACTTTATTTTAACACAATCTGACCAGAACGAACTGACTCAAAAACATTACAGTCACAAGCTAGCTCTCATTTTTGTTGAAAATCAAATATGTAAACAGAACCATAACAACCCAAAATATGCTACATAGGATTTCAACAATCAGTAGTGAGTGAAATGTTAATTTATCATAACATTTTTTTTCTGTAATTTTGTAAAGTCTTCAAAAAGAAAGAATTTCTTTTTGTTCCCTGTAACATACTTTTTTGTTCCAGAGAGATTGTCACAAAGCTTGATGGCACTGACACAGATTCAAGTTTGCAGGTGAAATCTTTTGACAAATCTTCTTCTAAAACCTCTTTAAAGATCAGCGATGCTGTCATCTGTATCTCCTTGTTATCTGATAATCTGAAATCAAGAGAGAATAATCACAATCCATTTATATCTGCATTTGCGGTAAGAGATGTTTGGGTCAGAGATGTGATATATTTACATTGTAGAGTTGGAGAAGACTCTCAAATTTGTATCAGAGTCCACAGATGATGTGTCAGTCATCCAAAATACCTCATCAAAATCTGAGGATAACGTAGCTATGCAGTTGATCACAAAACCAGAACCTAGAAAAGTTATTAAAACAATAAAATAAACAACAAAATAAAAGTTTTTAAATGAAACATTTATAACTCATAGTATTACAGTATTTTTTTTTTTTACCTAATACAGTTTCAAAAATTGCACCATGCTGCGGTGAAATTATCTTAACATCTGCCGGTGGTTCTGAGAAAACAGAAGTAAAAATGTCATGCAAAATAGGTATGGAGATTGTAGAGATATGCAGAGACAGAAACATACAATATTTTCATAATAATTCTTAAATTATTACAAACATGTAAAAGTGGCTTAAACTTGTCTAAAAGTAATAAAGCAGTAAAGCAATGACATCTCCATGGAGACAATGGGTAGCAGTTATTTTTTTGATAAGAGCATAATATTGAATTCAATATGATATTCACATAGGTCTTAAAACAATGATAATTTCTATTTTGGTTAGATTATTTCAATACTTTACTTATTGAAGTATACATTACCTGGAGCTTTGACAAAGAGTTTGTTGGTGTAGGTCATGTTATAAGTTTGACCTTTGTAGAGATAGGAACGAGTGCAGTCGTAAGTCCCCTGATTAGTCTCCTCAACACTTGAGAAGAACAAAACGTCTTTAAACAGTGTCCTCTCACTCTACAACAGAAGCCATTGTATTAAAACCATTACTAAACACAAGAATATGCATAGATGTAGAAATGTTATTGCTATAGTATGTCTTTTATTTTAATATTTTCTCAGTTGAGGGAGAAACTGCTGCACTACAGGAGTAATTTTCTGAGGTTTTGCTGTTATGAAAGTGACACTAGTCTATAAGTAAACTCTGAAGAGACGTCTATAGCCTGTGGTTACAAAATAGTGTCTGAAAAATAAAGAGTTGAATGTGGTTTTGGGTAGCTTACTGTTAAACTTTAAATAACCTTTATAAAAACACACTTTAGTTAGTCTTATTAAATCATGAACAAAGACTTAGACAAACTCTGTTGATCCACAAGGGAAATTATTTGGACATAGTGGCTCACACATCACAATATAATATAATAACAAAGAGCAAAACTAGAAACAGTAATAATTAATCCAATGCAAAAATAGCAGGAGATTGGTGTCAAATAAGGCATAATAATAATAATAATAATAATTCAAATGTTTAATCTTCACCATATAGTAAGGTTTATAACTACTTAACTACTGTGTTTCAGATGGCATCACAACAGGCCAATAATATTTAATACAGAGCGGGGGCAGCTAAAATAAATACAGTTAAAATGTGGGTTTTTGTTGTAATATAACAAGTTAATGGGTCTAGTCACAGATAGAAAAGATAACATTAAACATTTGTGAATAAACTTTTGGGATATTTTATGACAAAGTGCAATATTATTAATAGGGAAAACTGTCTCTCGCACCCCACCTGGAAGTCACCGCTCAAGTACTAAACTGAATCATTCTTAATAAACAATTTGTTCACGCTTTATTAAGGCCAACAAAGGTCTAGTAGTTATTATAAAGTGGCACAAACATGTTAATTACGTGAAAAGATTTTATAATAGCACGCCCTTGGTTGTTTTGTAACATTTTACTTTTTATCAATAGCCACTGATGAAATTGTCTTTGCACCTTAGTCCATGTGATGCCGTTGCGGGTCATCGAGGGTATGTCTGATGCAGGGGCGTTGGAGATGGGACATCTTAAAGTGCAGCTGTCCCCAGTGAAGCAGGTGGTGGTGTACTGCGCCCCCGAGTGGCTACCATCAGAAACTGCAGTCAAGACAACTAGCTGGGACCAAAATGTCTTGTTCCTGTCAGTAGATACATAATTGTTCTATAAACATTTGAGCAGAATTCACAAGGTTATTCAGTCCTTCAAAGATGAACTGTTTACAAAAGTCTGCCTGTAACAATTAACGATTCAAAATAAAATAAAAATGGGTAAAAGTAATCAAAATATCGCATTCACAAAGCCTATAAAAATAGTGATAACTGAATTCTACAATAAGCAGTTTTTTTCCTTACCCCACAGAGCAGGAGTATTTCCCCTGATGGTCTGGAGAGGCTTTCAGTAAAACCAAGCTCCTCTTGTGAATCAGGAGCGGCGCAGTGGAGTTTGTGTCACTGGTTAAAATCTTCTTTTGAGGCGTGTAACTGGCCCAGGATGGTGTGCTTGCCATGGTTCTTCTGCTTTTGGGACATTGCAGTACAACCATGTCCCCAGCCCGGACAAATACCTCCTCACAACAAACATCTGAGGAAACATCAACAAATAAGCAGAACATAATAATATACACAGCACAGTATGCCCATATATATACGTTGTCTTGCTCTGTTCCTTCAAGTATTGGCTATGTCGAGGTCTACTGTCAATCTCAACTTTCACCACTAGATGTCGCCTCCACCACTTCCAATGTCAGATGCTGCTTCAAGATGATTTTATTTTAAAATTAACCACGAAGCCTTCTTGTGAAACTCGAACATATTAGGAATCTATCATTTATTGGTCAGTGCCACTTGAACTTGTCCATTCAGGCTATAAACAATACAATAGCCTACTTCATTTAGGAGAAAAAAAAGCGATCCATACTTTTTATTCACTGACATTATTTAGCCAAGACTAAACTGACATATAATAATAATTCAAATTGATTGTAATTTGAATATAATATAGGCTATACGCTAATATAATTAAAAAAAAAAAAAAAAAAAAAAAAAAAAAACATTTTAAAGAAAAAAGAAGTCCTTAAAAATATACCTATTATAAAAAACTAAAAGCGAAATAAATCCACATCATGTACCTGTGAGCAGAGAGAGAGATATCAACAAAAAGACGCGCAATAATGTCTGCATCTTGATCGTGTCTAACGGCGCAGAAAGCTGCGCTGCTCTTTTATAGGTTACTCAACTCAGGTCTTGTCACGATGTTGAAAACATGCAGAGACATGTTTATACTTTCTACAGTGAGAAGGCCACAAAAAAAAAAAAAAAAAAAAAAAAACTAAACCGAAAGTATACAAATCTCTTTATAAGAAGGGCATTCCCGAGTAAAGACCATGTAAATAACCAGATCGCAGGATCTTGAAACAAATAGACCATGACATGTTTGGGCAACTATGTGAACGTCTCCATCATACTCTTCCAGTCTTACCTATATTTTCTTTGCTTATATTGATATTATATTGATTTTCTGCTAAACATATACATGGAAAGCTTAATGATGATGATTTAAATCATTATTTTATGATGTCTCGTGTCTTTGATCCGTTGGCACGCGGCTGTGTGCACGCGCTCACAGCAGGGGTACAGGATCACCGGGGCAACGGCGCCGCGACAACCGAGACCCAAAGACCGGATTTACCTCTCTGCCAAAACCAGTGCAACAAAATGATTGATATCCTACGGCTGGCGACAGGAGCGGACACGCGCACTTTATCTACTCTCTCTGAGCTCTCAGCAAACGGTGCGTCATGAACAGTCCTGTTTATTAGGGTCTTGTTTATGCCCATGTTTAATTATCTTCTTAAGTTCTCGTTGGGACCAGGCAGAATGCGTCTTTTTGGATCTCCATGATAGAGCGTAACTCAAAATGTCATTAACGTAACATCTGAGAAGTGATGAAAGTGGCTTAACAAGAGAGTTTTACCTGAATCTCACTGTGTGTATTGTTTTCAGACATTGAAAATATCTGGGCTGATGTTTCTGCTTACATTGAAAGTCAGATGGCATTATTAAAGGTAGGAACTGCGAAATAGTTGGTACCAATATATATATTTTTTATTATTTCAAAGCTACGTACCTATGGATAACCCTTAAATCAAAAATAAGAAGCAGAATATTGAAGCTCTTTACTTGCACATATTCTGTATTTCAGGGCGTCCATGTGGATGGATTGGGGACCTTCACCTTTTCCCAGCAGAAGCTCGACCTGGGACTCCAGTCCACCACTATCTATAGACCCATCTTCATCTTGTCTGGGAAACTTGTCCATTCACTGGGTTTAAAACAAGCCAGACCCTTGGCTGTTGGTGAGAGTTTGGAATGTTTTTTGTTGAATGAGAACATTTTTAAATTTTTTTTAAATTCTAGTGCTATTATTGATTAGAATCAATTTATTTGTCATGTTAGGCTAAAAAATACACAGAAATGAATCATTATCCATGTGGTTTTTGGACAGCTACCCACCTGCCTGTAGTGCCTCTAAACTTCACGACTTTGGCCAAAGAGACAGCGTTCAGTCGCGACCATGTGGCGAGCTGTATCAGAGAAGTTCTCCTGCTCCTCGTCAGGACTTTAGCATCACAACAGAACGTGTTGTTACCATTCGGGGGAATTGGAGTTCTCTCCTTTAAAAACAACAAGGTACCAACCAACCACATTATACTTATATAGATTAAAGTGCCCATATTACACTATTTTCTGGTCTTTGTTATAATGTTGTTTCCTCATCATTAACATACCTGCAGTTGTGTTTTGTTGTTTAACACACAAACCTTGCCCACCTTGTGTGGAAATGTTCCACTGTGTTTTTAAACTCCATACACCTTCACTAGAATCATTTGGATCATTTCAGCCCTGGAATTGCCAATCTCTTCTGAACTAAAAGTAAAAAGTCGCTGTTAACTTGAAAACTACCACTTATAACATCACAAGGTACAACAGAGAATTTTGAGCTTTGATCATGTAGACAGACTAATAATAAAGGATTACTCAAACATGTGTGAATGAAACAAAACATAGCCCTGGGTATGTTTTTGATGAAGCAACAACATTATAACATGGCTTAAAGCTCACAGGAGTCAGTTTTGTGACAGAGTAATGACATTTGATCTACAGGTACAAATGAAGTTCAGTAAAGAATACATAAATGCTATGGACGCGACTGGGAACCTTCACTTAGCTTTCAAAAAAGTAAGTATTAAGCCTCTGGTGTCTGATTTATTCTATTTATTCTAATGTTGTAGTGGGAACAAGCTTTACACAGAGGAAAGTCAGATTTCAAATTCTGTCTGAATTATTTGGGTAAATATAAGAATAGCTATAGCATGTGTCCCTGGGGATGGCCTGAGAGACAGCAGATTGAGTATTTGTTAGGTTTTGACAATTCCCATGTCAAAAAAGAAGCATAACTCACTGAGAATAGTTTTAGGAACTTGTAAACAGGCAAAAAAAAAAGTCCCAGCTGACTTAAAATAAAAGTCCTATAATATTTTTGTGATTCTTTTAGGTATTTTTGAGGCATACAAACTGCTCTAGATTATTTTACATAAGACTGATAGTTCCCTTTTATCAGAAAGTGGACAAACAGGCTGGAACTCATTGGTTAAAATAGCTCTTAACTGAAACTCGATTCCTGCTCAGACAGAAGTTCTATTGTTGTGTCCTTAGGCAAGACTCTTCCCCCACATTGCCTAGTATTAATTATCACCACCAAGTACTATAACATGAATGAATAATGTCTACTTTGAGAGGTTTTTGACTAGCCTGTAAAAAACTATAATAATCATTAGTATAAGGAATGAATATCTCTAAGTTTTTTGTCCTTTTAGAGACCAGGGAGCAGTGCGTCTTTAACCTCTGTTGGATCCAAGTTTCAAAAAACACAAACTGTGAACTTCAGGACTCTACCCACAGTTCACTCCCCAGAGCCTGATGCCCAACCATCAGACCATGACGGACCACCTGAGCAGTCTGATGATCCAGGTGAAGACATCAGTGCATTTTTAACTGAGATGGGCCAGGCAAAAGTACAACTGCTTTGTTCACAATTCACTGTGATTGGTTAAATTAATTTATCTCAGAGTTAAAGGATCCATATTACACTGTTTTCTGATCTATGTTATAATGTTTATGTATTGATTCATTCACACATGCTTAAATTAAAACACAACCCCTGCATATTTAGGCTCAGTTCTCCTCTTAAGCAGAAAACCACCTACTGATTTTCCCATGTTTCAAACACATGTGGGATTGTAGGTCTCTAGAAATATCAGCATTGTGACTAAGTGAACATTATCCAGAGTTTGTCCTCATTTGACCCAATTGGTGGAGTTTTGTGCATATAATTTTCCCAGATATAGTTACATTGACAGATACATACATCTGTACACACTGTTAATAAAGATAATGGATAAAAGACTCCATCATGTTCTTGACAACATTGGAAAAATCATCTTAGAAACTGGGTGTAACATTTTACACCCAATTTGCCAAACACATCACCAGTACATTACAAAATACAATGAATAATACAGTGAATAATAATTCATTTGAAAAACACTTTCTTCACAGACATTTCCCAACAGTTAGAGCAGAAATCCCACTGGACTCCACAGCCTGCCAAGACAAGAGAAGTGGACCCAGCACTTTCTGTGGAGAGACACAAGTATCACACGCGCACGCACACTTCTGCAATAAGGTTACACAGTATCTGTATGTGCATTGGTTAGAATAAAATAACTCGAATGCAGCATATCAGTTTGATTTGAGTTGAAGTTAAAATATTTTATTGTCCCCATGGGGAATTTTGCCTTTTGCATCTGACACATCTTTAAGACTGGGGCAACCTGTCAGGAGCACTGGACACCCGGGGACCCATCTCCCTGATCTTGAGCTATAGGTTTGGTCAGAACTGTAACCCATTTGCAAGGAGGAAAACCTAGCCAGACACATGGAGAAACAAGCAAACTCAGTAGAGAAAGACCCAGGAGTCTAACCCGAAACCTTTTCACAGTGAGGAGCTCAGCCATTATGCCAAAAGTGCATCTCTATAACTTGGTTTTGTTGTTGTTTGTAATAAATTTGCACAATGGACGTAGATTATTTCACTGGTATAACAAGGCCGTATGCTTTTTCATTCCAGCAGAATTTCTAGAGTATGAAAGCTAATGGCAAGTATTCAGCTTGAAACCAAAAAGTACATTAATAGATCTGAGAAACCAGTATAATTATCTCAAACGTCAAACGTATAATCTGAATGAATACCATGGTTTTGCAGTGCCCTTACACACATATACAGGTGGCCTGGTGCACGGGGTCAGTTTGCAGCTTGCGGCTCTGGTCTCTGAGGGGGTCTCCTATTGTCTCTGCCCTCAGGCCCTGGGCACCTCCATCAATGATGCACAAGTTTCACTGAGCCAGATTCCACATCTGTCAATACCATTCAAGTTTGACCTCACAGCACTGCAGTGAGCATAAACAGAATATTAAGGGCATTTGATGTGAAGATAATATGTTAAGGCACCGTGCTGTAGATAAGTAGTGCATGATATAACAGGTACAAAGTTCATTGTGATTCACACATGTAAAAGTATGCTAGAGCGATTGAAAGAGATAACGAAACAAAAGAGACTAATATTAAATTGTGTAAACTTGTACTGTTCAAGTCACAGGCCCCTTACCTCACCAGCGGAGACTCTTCCCAAAATGTCTACCCCTCGTGTGAACTGCTCAGGACACACCCGAGCTGGACAGGTGACAAAGCAGTTTGCCCCTAAAACAAATTCAATTTATAAATAAAAATACTAGTTTCCCAGAAAGGGATAGGATGAGATCACACATGTGAACCTGCTGAGTTACATTTCTTGAGAAGACATAGTCATTAAGTAAAATAAATAAGAAAAAGTTTGAGTACAAATCATCTTGTTCTTGTGGATCCAATCTTGTGTGTCATCAAATGTTATGGGATATTATGGGAACTGTGTCTCATCCCACCCCTACAATAACTGGACATTAGGCATTAGATATTTCAAGTCCAGTTCAGTTCTGTTTTTGTCCCAGTTTAGTTTCAGTTTTGATATGGTCTGTGTACAAGTATAACATGCCTATAATGTGTCCTGTATTTGTGTATTGTTGATCAGGAGCTGTGTTACGTGTGCATGCAGAGAGCCCACAGGAATGTGCCAGTGTTTGTGAGTGAGCAGCATGAGGCAGAGGAGAGGAGCCAAGAGCAGGAGCTGCTGCTCAGGGCACTGCACCAGGACAGACTCTTCTATGAAAGAGAGCAGGTGCATGGCTTTCTTTATTATAGTGCAATCTACCTCACAATATATCATAATATATTCACCACTGGTAGTATTCTACCTCTGTTGACAAATGTTGCAAACTAGTTTCACATACATTGCTTCTGAAATTATTATTGTGTTGAAAATTAATTGCAGAATTAAAGGCCCATAATACACTATTTTGTGATCTATGTTACTATGTCGTTTCCTCATCAAAACAGACCTGGAGCTGTGTTTTGTTGTTTAACACACAAACCCTGCATATTTAGGCTAAGTTCTTCTTTCCAATGGAAAATTACTCTGCTCCACTTTGTGATGTCTTGTGGTAATACAGGAAGTGCTCCACTGTGTTTTTAAATTATATACACCTTTGCTAGTATAATTTTGATACTTTTAGCCATGGAATCGCCTATCTCAACTAAAAATGTAAAATATAGCTGTTAACCTGAAAACTGTTGGTTCATGACATCACAAGGTGGAACAGAGCCTTTTGAACTTTGGAGATGTAGACAGATCAAGTCAAGTCAAAGGAAACACAACTCTAGATATGTTTTTGATTAGCTAACAACATTATAACATGGCATAAAGCTCACATGAGTCAATTTTGTTTTCAATTCAATATAGGACATTTAATAAATGTCAATTTATGATTAATCTTTAATTTGTGGTTGGCCCATTGTTCCCCTTCTGTCTTTGACCTCATAAAACTGCTCTGATTCTTTCAAGTAATATGATCTCATGATTGATGTGGTCTTGAGAATGAATTTTTCCCAGTGACAGAAGCAGCTGCCATCATGTCAAACAACTCTGCCAATGAAAACCAAAATATTGAAAAGGTTACGAAGTTTAAAGGGTGTTTCTGAGTTTAGATGCCAGATCTGTAATCCTGCCTCATTCTTTTTTCAGCAGTAAAATAATACAACTTTAAATTACACCCTGTAAAAATGCCTGAATTGTTTTTTGAAATGAAGAAATGTTTTATGGGCTAATAAAAACCGCCACAATGTCTCCAAGATGATATTGTTAATGTGCAATGGTATCTTTAATCTGCCCTTACAATGAAAACTCTCAAAATGCATATTTGTGTTACAGGCTAAACTTGCAGATCAGCGTGAATATGCCAGAGGTGTTGCATCTTTTAATCTGAGAATGTTGGCAAAGAGAGACAGGGCGTCCTCCCCTCAGTGCCCTGTGAGTACAATCAATCACATCTGTCTTTCAGTGGGGTGCCAGTGGCAAAAAAAAAAAAAAAAAAAACAGTTGTTGTGTCCTTAGGCAAGACACTTCACCCACATTGCCTAGTATGAAAATGGTGTATGCGTGAGTGATGGTGGTGGTCAGAGGGGCTGATGGTGCAGATTGGCAGCCTCGCTTCCGTCAGTCTGCCCCAGGGCAGCTGTGGCTACAATAGTAGCTTACCACCACTGAATGTGGAGTGACTGAATAATGAACTGCAAAGTGCTTTGGGTCAATCAATCAATCTTTCCTTAGGTCCTATTAATATACAAAATTGACTCTTGTGAGATTTAAACCATGTTATACTGCATTACCTCATCAAAAACATACCTGGAGTTGCATTTTGTTTCATTTACACATGTTTAACACACAAATGCTGCATATTTGGGAAGTGCTCCACTGTGTTTTTGAACTCTTTACACATTCACTAGAAACATTTGGAGAATTCAGTACTGGAATTATCCACCTCTACAGCTCTAAAGCTCACAAGAATCCATTTTGTGTAATAAGGGACCTATAATGTGATGCAAATCTTGGTCTGAATCAAATCTTTGTGTGCACAGAGCTCTTTTATCTTTCCGTCTCGGCCTGTGACTCCTGCTCCAAAGTTCAAACAGCACCAATACATGAACGAGCTACAAACCCAGATCAAACAAAAACAACAACACGAGACAGAGAAAAAACTCCACTGTGTGAAGTCCGAATGTCTGGAGCAGGCAAAACTACTGCAAGAGTGAGTCCAGTGTGGAAATACTACTATGGACGGATGTGCAATTTCTAATTTAAATTATTATATAAGAGCATACATCACCACAGCTATTACCAGCATGAAGCTAACACATACATACACTGAAAAAAACATACGTTAATGAGTTTAAGTTACTTGAATTAAGACATGATCCATCTAGATTATATTACAGATATTAGATTTTGAATATGATTTAAGGAGATCTTGACTAGTCAGCAATGTTTTTTCTCCTTCACATTTCTGACTCTATGGAAAATATGACATGTTCAGTTGACATTTCTGTCTTGACTACACCAAATGTACCAGTAACAGAATCAATTGTTTTTGAAGTGAGAAAATAAAAGGACACAATGTCTTCACTGAGAGAGTGAATAAAATACAAAGAACTTTGGGTATATTAGCCATATTTATGTGTGTGTTTATGTTTATCTCGCATATGCATGTTGTCTAGGTTGGCTTCAGTGAAGGCTCAGCAGCTCAAACAGAAACAAGAGATGACAGCACGTTACAAGAAAGCTTTGGACTTTCAGGCAAGAAAACTACAGCAACTACCCATGTTTTAACAGTAACTTCTGCTGTGCGCCAAACTATCAACACAGCACGCACACAGCAGGGAACACACAGGTTAAAATCCCAGCCAAAGAAAAGCTCTCCAAATGAGAAATGATTCATAATGTAATCCAAACTGTGGTTACTTGTAGCTTTTGGGTTAAGTCTAATTGAAGACTAAATATGTTTTTTGCCAAATCAGTCAATCAGGTTAAATTAATTTTGAAATAAAAAAATAATAATTTAAATCAGCCGTAAAAATCTTAATTGAACCATCTCAAATTGGCTGGCAACTACATGAATTTTCTGTCTTTGTAATAATTCTTTTGACTCACATAGTGCTTTTTTTGGACAATAAAATCATGTTACATTGTATTATTCATTCACTCCCCATTGGTGGTGGTAAACTGCCCTTAGCCACAACTGTCCTGGGGTATTTACAAGGCAAGGTGGGTGAATGTCTTGCCAAAGGATACAATGAGCCACTACTGCTCCTCAGTGGCACCTGGTACTCCCAGAATTACTAATGTGACCAATACAAGGTCTGTCTGTCTGTCTATCTTATTATAGCAAAGCAAAGATGAATAAGATTAAGGTTGCATATAATGATGTTCTCAGAATACTGCTAAAGACTCCAAGGTGGGAAAGTGCAAGTGCTTGGTTTATCATTGCAAATATTCCCACGTTCCAGGCTCTAATGAGGAACCTCATGTATATATTTATGTGTAGGTTAAATGAATCAAGAAATGGAATTATAATGTGCTTGACTGATATTAAGGAAAGCGACTCCCAATATTCCTCTGACATCTGGAAATGTTGGAAGGGCCAGTTATATGTATTTTAATTCTACTGGACTTTACATAACTGTATGTATGTGTGTGTGTGTGTGTGTGTGTGTGTGTGTGTGTGTGTGTGTGTGTGTGTGTGTGTGTGTGTGTGTGTGTGTGTGTGTGTGTGTGTGTGTGCGCGCGTGTGTGTGTACTGGTGGGTTTATATATGGTTGCGGGTGTGTGTCCTTCTGTGTATGCTTTGGACCCTGAGTCTGTAAATAAAGTTATCTGTCTATTTAAAATAGGTTACTCTTCAGTTAGGCTGAGTTCAGTTAGTTATGTTATGGATTTTCCAACAACAATCCTTTGCTCCACAATCCAAGGGGCAATTCCCCCTTGTTGAATCATAATCAGTTGAATCACAATAGTAATTTTAAAGTTCTCCATTCTAGTAATGTTTTTAGAGTGGACATGTCAAACTCCACATAGCCACTGGGACTTTTGGATTATTGAGTCAAAAGGCTTACAAAATCTGCTCCTTCTTACAGTATTTGCATCAACACATATTATTTCATTGCATTACATTACAGTAACTCATACCTAACTAACCTTATGTCCATTTTCATCTTAAGAATCTTCCTAAGTCTTTTTGGCCTTATCATACACTGTATATATAAATCAACATAGTTAACTTGCCAAATAGGGAGTTCACTTGTGGACTCTTCCAGCTCCTACTGACCCTGGCTCCCATTAATTTATCCCACTGGAATAATGTGGCCCCTCTCTCTGTGACTGCTGCTATGAGCCTCATCATTTTGGTATAAAAATGTTCTTATTAACCAACTGTACACGATCCTGGTATTTTTCCCCCACTATTTGTCTATTAAAAACATACAAACACACACCATATCAGATTGTGACTAAACTCAGACTAAACCCAGAACTGAACCTGGACTAGACCAGGACTAAACCAGGACTAAACCAGAACTAGAATAGGACAAGCACCAAGGACCAAACCAGGCCAAGTGTGGCCTTAATCTGGAAAGACTGATGTTATTCCCAAAACCCTGAACTTGAACCATCCTCTGATTAAATCACTTTTAATATTGTTGTCATCCCATTAAAAAAAATATAAAAATCCATGGTATCCTCCTTAACTCCATTACTCCCTCCTCACTTCTAGCAAATCTTATTTTTATGTATTCTGATGTTGTGAGTAGATTAGTGTAACCGAGTAAGTATTTCATTTATATTGTTAAACATAACTCACTGTGTACTGGGGTTCAAAGTACAGTTACATCCTCGTACTATAAACAGCACTGTACCATGACTGACACTTAAGTTATTTTTGTTTGAAAGGATGTCATGGCATGTTTTGTAGGTTGGGGACAAAAAGGGCACTGGATTTCCTGTTTGTCTGCCCGACTACTTCCACTTCACACGCGGTGAAAATCCTGACAGTATCATCGAGAGCCGCAAACAAGCTAAAGAGGTCTGCTATACTACGCAATATCACCATTATCACTGCATTACCCAATACCAGTATATACCCAATAACCTGTAGCCTGTATGTGGTGGCAATTTGTCTGATCCACTAAATTGATACTTTGCAGCTGATGTTGTCAACTTTCCCTGGGGGTGTGAAGCTAACTAAAGGCACTGCTCTGTCTGAAACTATGTTAGACTTTAATATCAGCTTTGTTTTAACACAGCCGGACCACCTTTTTGTTCAAAATCAAACAACCTAAACAGGACCACGAACACTCATATAGATCTCAGGCTCCTGAAAATGTGTTGCATCTAGTATTTTTTCTTGAGTTTTGAGACTTATCTAGACTTATTTGGCAGTGCTTGTGTGCATAGTGTCACCATGGTAATGTTTGAACCTTCCATAACAAGTGTGGCTCTGCACATAACACTGGTGCTAGGCTACTACAGCGAACACAGAAAACAAGATAAAGCCTACACACTTACTCTCAAACTGTTTAATGATTGACAACGTTTCAATTAGAAGATCTGTCACTCATTCAGTGCAGTTTCATATTAAGTGTGCTGGCTTTCACTCTTTCCAACATTTGAAAATTCTGCCATATACATAAATATAGAACCCTCCAGCGTGATGTTATTGCAAAGTGTCAATAAAACTAAGCAAACTAATCATAAGAGACCTGAAGCAACGTCAAGGGTGGGCTTTACACAATTGAATTATTATAACAAATTAATAATTCATGAATTATTGAAAAACACTTTTTTCCAAGACATTTTACATTTAAAGCCAAGACAGCTAATAATAGATGAGTTTTATATAGCACTTTTAGGACACTCAAAGCTGCTTTAAAATACAAAACCAAACAATAATAATACATTTAAGCAAAGATAAAGAACTAAAAATAGGCAAAGACAAAAGCTCCAACAGTATGCTTTGATGCTTACTGAAGCTTACTGTTTGCAGAGCTGCCGTATCAGGGGTATTCCTCCATTAAGTTACATATTATCTTGTTTTTATGTAACACATGATTGATAATGATAAAAAAACAGCTTTAATGTTTACGTATGTTTTTTCATTGTGTTTGTAGCTTTTTCAGGCAAATTTCAGCACTGCTGCTCAAAGAAAGCACAACAGACTTCAAGAGCATCAAGCACAGGTGGAGAAGGAGCGAGAAATCCTCAAACAAAATCGAATTGGGTCAGTAAAATACTTTAAGAAAAAATATTAACAATAGAAAATAAATATAGGTTGATTCATAAATTGTTTTGATTTCTTCAGTTTGATTCAGGATCGCGTGAATCACTTTGAAAAGAAGCAGGACTTGAGCAGATCTCTGTTGAACGACTGGAGCCAAAGTGTGAAGCTAAAACAACAGCGAGAGGAAGAGGAAAGGTGCTTTCTGAGGTCTGGGACTCAAACACATCAAATCTGATTTTGTCAATATTGATACTGTGACATCACACTGGGGGTGTTATACATGTATGTACATGTATGGCGTAATGTTCAGTTACCATAGCGACACAATGCACACATTAGAAAACACTGCCAAAAAGGTTTTGAGATCATCTGAAAACTCAAGAAAAAATACAAAAGTGATTTAAACATTTTTCAGCAGCCTATGATCAGTACAAGTTTACACATTCTTGTTAAGGTGTTTGATTTTCAACAAAAAAAGTGAAAGTGACTCGCTAGCCTGAGACTGTAATGTTATTTTAGAGACTTGTTTAACAGTAAAAATCATCTCAGCTGTTGTAGTTCCAGCTAAATCAGTTCTTTATGGTCACATTGTTTTGAAATAAAGATCAGATTAAAGACTAAAAGCCTCAAACAGAGCATGTTTACAGTTACTGAAGACTGTGTACTTTCCCTAGGGAATCTTAAGCTGCAAAGTGTCAATAAATGTGGTCTGAAAAAGTGTTGGTCCATTGCAAGTCCATAGAGATATTTGAGTTATAAGGCGTAAGCAGACAAACAGAAAAAAAAAGTTCAGAAGTTCAGTCCTTTGCAAGTCTGGGGATATCGAAACTGTGGCTCTCAGGCTTTCTGGTGAACTGGCCAAATTATCCTAGGAAGTATTTTTTATTTCAAGTTTTAAATCCTCTTTCATTATAACTTATAATAACATTATAACCAACCACAGACAGACCTGATATTAAAGGTGCATTGTGTCATTGAGTTCTTTTTTCCACTGAAATGTCATCTCTTTGTATGGACTGCGTCACAGTATGGTAAACTTTTCGGTCTTCATGGAAACCAAAACCTCAAGTTACACATTAGATCTGTGGAGAGGCAACCCCACTCACAGTCATAATACCTGTTTTTCTATGTATTTTTGAGCTATAAAACCACCTGTAATTGAATAACTGCAAGGTAGAACTGTTTAATGTCATACTGTGGAACATTCCAGGCAGAACAGTGACATCTCCATAGAAACAAAAAGTTGACGGATCCCAAACCGAAAAGTTACATAGTGCACCTTTAAGGGTCTTACACTGAAGACACTTTAATATATCAGATAAAGGCTACTTTTTTCATTGATTCAACAGTATCAGCCCTCCATGTGGTCTAAGTTTCAATATGTGATCCTCCATGAAAAAAGTCTGGACACCCCAGCTCTAAACTCATAATTAATATTAAATTTTTTTACCCCATGTTCAGATCGGCTGGTCAGCTGCTGGTGGACAAACTGGTGGAGTACAGGCGCTGTGCCCAGTGCAAGAGAAGGACCTCCAACTGTGGACAGAGCAACATTTGGAGAGACTCTCACTACCTCTCTGGCTCGCAGTTCATAATTTAAAAACAAAATCCACTGATACAAGAAATATGTTTCATCTGCAGTTCAAGAGTTATTTGATCTCTGTTTTATTGTTGTTTCCTCAGAAACATAACTGGTGTTGTGTTTTGTTTCATACACACATGTTTAGCACACAAATCCTGCATACTTAAGCTGGATTCTTCTGTCAAACACAGAACACTTTATTCCACATTGTGATGCCATGTGATAAGACAGAAAGTGCTCCCCTGTGTTTTTACACTCCAGACACCTTCACTGGAATAACTTTGAATTAGAATTTTCATTTCTCATCATCTCCACTGAACTACAGCTGTTAACTTGGAAACTACTGTTTCATAATGGAGATGTAGGAAGTGTAAACAGACTAATAATGCAGGATTACTCAAACGTGTGAATGAAAAAAACACAACTCCAGATGTTTTTGATGAGGTTACAACATTCTAGCATTGCTTAAAGCTCACAAGAGTTAATTTTGTGTAATATAGAATCAATCGAATAAATGACAAGTTGAGTCAATAAATGCATTTTATCTATTTTGTTTTTGTAAGGTCATGAGATGGTGCATGTGGTGCAGTATATAGATGGTTTCAACAGTGACCATCTGCACAGTGTTTTTGATAACTACCACTGAAACCTCTTTACATTTGAGGAAGTAGTACAGACTTAGCAAATTGAGGTCATGGGTCTTGTGGGTTTTAATGTGAAAACCAAATGTGGTGTAAAATTGACTCTGACAACAATATTTATTTAATAAACAGGGAAGTAAGGGAAGGGAGTAATTTGTAAATTTTTTTCCCCTCAGTGCAATAACTATACTAAATTAAACGTATGTTGCATACTGTATAATGGATACTGACCTGATGATGAAATCAGGTTTTGAAAAGGACAAAAGTAGTGATAAATAGAGCGAGGGTATGATGGATGTTGTGTTGGAGGATCTGACAGTGTTTTCTGGCTTTAGTCCATCTTCTGTGTAAAGAACAAACTCCCCCAATGACCCCAAGGACAGACCGAGCCAAGAAACAGATGCAGCTTAAAGGTCCTATTTTACACAAAATAGACTCTAGTGATCTTTAAGCCATGTGAGATGGTTGTTACTTAACCAAAAAATAAAAACAGACCAGGAGTTGTGTTTTGTTTCATTCACACACGTTTCAGTAATTGTTTGTTTGTACATTTCAGAAGATCTAAATGCTGTGTGATGTGCTTGTCATGTTGTGGTAGTTTTCAAGTTAGCAGCTACACTTTTTACCTTTTGTTCAGTAGAGATTGGAGTGTAAAAATACAGTGGAGCACTTCCACAAACGCAAATCTCTGAATGAATTTGATAAGGAAACAACATTATAAAATAAAGTCCCTGACAAACGTCTTGTCGCTTATCCATTTTGTAGAAACAAAAGCTTATAACCTGACTTTAAATTAATCGATTGGTTTTAGAAATGTCTCATATGAAAGCTAAAACTCTCCCAGATTATGCTCAATATACTAAAATAAATTTGCTTCACTGAAGAAAGATTGATCATTTAACAAACACAGAAAGGTCAGATTTTGGCAAGACAAAGGTTTTGTCGCCTACAGAAAATTGAACAAATAATTTACTTCAAATACAAAAATATGTTAAATAACATCAGTGAATTAAGTAGTTTTGCTGTGAGATCCATATTTAATATCATGTATGACTTCCATGAGCTTGAAGGACGCATCCATGCGGTTCGACAATGATTCATACAATTTGTTGATGACGTCATCAGGAATAACAAAGAAAGCGTCTTACATGCCTCCCAGAGTTCATCAAGATTCTTTGGTTTTGCCTTCCATGCTTCCTCTTTCATTCTACCCCAGACATGCTCAATGATGTTCATGTCTGGTGACTGGGCTGGCCAGTCCTGGATCACCTTGATCTTCTTCACCTTGAGAAACTTTGATGTAGAGATAGAAGTATGCGATGGAGCACCATCCTGCTGCAAAATTTGACCCCTTTTATGGTTGGGAATGTAAGAGGTAGCTAATACTTCTTGATATTTTAGGCTATTGATATTGCCTTCCACCCTGCAAATGTCTCACACACCCCCATACTGGATGTAACCCAAGACCATGATTTTTCCGCCACCAAACTGAACTGTTTTCTGGGTGAATCTTGGATCCATGTGGGCTCCAGTAGGTCTCCTGCAATATTTGCGGGGGCTGTGATGTAATTCAACTGAGGATTCATCTGAGAAATCCACCTTCTGCCACTTTTCCAGTGTCCATCCTTTTAGCAGGCTGTGGGCCTTGGCAAATGCCACACGTTTTTTTAATTGCCTTTTGTTTAGTGCTGGTTTCTGTGCACTGATTCGACCATGGAGGCCATTTCGAGACAGAATTCTATAAACTGTTGTGGTTGACACAGGGACTTGAGGTGACCAGGCCTGGTGGAGCTCTGCAGCAGTGGAAAAGGGGCTGGCCTTGGATTTTCAAATCAACAAACGGCCCTCCCGAGCAGTTGTCTTGCGGGGTCTGCCGGACCTGGGCTTGTCAAAAACATCTCCAGTCATTTCAGATATTTTTCTTATATTTTTCTTATTCTTTGTACTTGACGCTGAGACACATTGAAGGTGTCACCCACCTCAGCAGTGGATCTGGTCTTCAGCCTCTTGATAATTAACACTTTGGTCTCAGGGTGGATCTTAGGCATGTTGTCAGAGGTCAAGTTGCAGTTGATGTGAAGGTCTGGTGTGCTGGGGTTCTTTTTATACACACCCACTAATTGACTGATCAGTAACTGATCACAGGTGAGGCTGTAATCTAGGATTGGGTGCATCATATGACAAGGCGACAAGACTTTTGTCTTGCCAAAATCTGACGATGATTACAAGTTGATTCCAGTTAATCTAGTTACACCCTGTCGTAATGTGGCCGTTATTGTATAAAGGCACTTTCACATGTGTGCAAAACAGGTATTCACCTGGTAACAAGAGGCACCTTAAAGAGCCCACATTATGCTATTGTCTGTTGTTTAACACACAGAACCTGGATATTGAGTCTTATTTTGTACAGAAAACATCTCCTTGTGATGTCATGTGGTCATACAGGAAGTGTTCCATGCGCTCACTAAAGTCATATGGATAATTTTAGCCCCAAAATTGCCAATCTCTGCTAAACTAAAGGTACAAGGAAGCTACAACTACAATAGACCATTTTGAGCTTTGGGGATGCAGATTAATAATAAAGTGTTACTCAAGTGTGAATGAAACAAAACACAACTCCAGGTGTGTTTTTGATGAGGTAGCAACATTATAACATTGCATAAAGCTCACAAGAGTCAATTTTGTGTAATATAGGACCTTATATTTAAACAGCAAATGCAAAATCCCTCAGTGCAGGACTTCATTTGGACAGTCAGCCTTTTCTTATAAGTGCTGTAAACTGTGGAACATACAATCCAATTGAATTAAGTCCATTTCTGAGTTTAAACTGTTCACCTCCAGGCTTGAATCTTGTCTTAAAAGAAAGGTGAGAGTGAGGCTTGTGACTGCAATATTATAATGTTGTAGTTCCAGCTAAATCAGTTCTTTCTGGTCAGATTGTGTTACAATAAAGCTCAGATTAAGTCAAATTTTAGTATCATAGCTTCTGACAGAGTAGTGTCTTCAGTTAGCATCAGACGCTCAGGGAATGTTGATGATATCAGTTGCAAAGTATCAATAGAAGAAACATTTTCTTGTGTATTTTGGATTGTGTTTTATGCAGGGACTGGAATAGAGCATCACACTCAGCTGCAGGGTTTGTTTTGGAACTGTCTAATTATCTGATCACATTGTCTCTGCCAAATAAATACACAACATTCAAATGATTACAAGTACATGCTTGTTTTAATTTGGTGGAAGGATACCAGTTTGTTGGATGTATCCATTCAGCCACAAGAGGCAGTGTATAGAACAAATACACAAGTTCAAGGCCCTGATAAAAGAGGGATGTATTAAGATTTAAATAAAATACAAAAATGAAATAAAATAAAATGAAATAATTAGACAGAAAGAAGACAAGATAAAAGTTAAATAAACATGCACTCACAAAAACTAAAGATATACATGAAACTTGAAACTATAAAACTTTTCTAGTGAAGGATACAACATCTGTTTGTCTCCATAGAAATGTTATTTTTTGCCTATATGTTTCACCATATGGCTTTAAACTTTAATTTCCATGAAGATAAGCAAATGGCACCAGCAGGTCAAGTTACTGGTCAGATTTGTGGAGAGACTACACACACAGTAAGAACGCATGTTTTTCAAGGCATTTCTGTACAATAAAACGTCTGCGTTGTAGAAGTTTTCAGATTATCCAAGAAAGGGTGGAAGTAAAAGGCTGGAGACCAACTGAATGTCTTAAACAGGAGAAGTTTATTTACCATCAATAATACAGGTCCGGGGGGACTTGAAAAGTCAACATAGTATGATTTCAAAAGTGAACATAGTGTGATCTTTGAGTGTTCAAGGCCCTTTACTATGCTTTCGGAGGAAGAGGTTTATAAAGCAAGTGGTGAGACTATGAAGGTCAGTAGGCACCAGTTAGACAGCAATATGCCACAATTTAGATAATGGTATGGCAATGGTATGCCAGTGGAAGATCATGGTGTAAACATAGCTTTTGTGAGTAAATGTTAACCTGAGATGTATGAGAAAGATAAATAGCTTAAATTCTCTTACAACCTGTAACTAAAAAGATACAAGATAGATACATTTAATGTCATACCTATTGTAGAGATGAAGATGGTTCACTAGGCTGGCAATTCTTTCAAGGGTTTCCCAGAACTTGGACGTTGTCACCTGAAGTTGTCATTGCATGTTTCCAAACGTCATCCTGGTTTGTAAAATAACCGTGAATAAAGCCTATTCTATTTGATATAGTAAGAAATAGTGTACCTCCAATGGAAATAGGCAAGGGCACATAAGGCCCATAGCGCCACCTTGTGTCTAGGAGAAGAGCTACACTTTGGCTTCCACACTGTGGGAAATTCTAGGCATCTCCGTGAAGACAACCTGGTGACATGACACATGACATGAAAAATGACACAGTGTGGCTTTAAGTGTATTTGTATACAACATGCTGTAATAAAAACAAATGTAGTTAAACTATACATTGAAAGATTCCTCTCCTGGACGCCATCGGTCTGTTGGAGTCAGATCTGTTGTATTTATGGGTGGGGACCTCAAGCATCGCAGCAGGAGGCTGTGACTACAGCCAAAGTTTTAAAAGTACAGAGCTATGTGAGAGTCAGCAAATGTGTAACAGCAGTGTTCAAACAAACAACTTATTTATTTATTTATTTATTTATTTTTAAATACTTTTGAATATTTTTTGTATCAACATGTAACTAATAGCATGTATGTGTGAAAATAAGTTATTTGAAGCTCTTATTTTTAATTCTTTAACTTATTCATGGGTTTCAGAGTGATTAAAAAATTAAGACTGTTGCCATGCTGATTAAGAATTTAAAACAAATATTATATCTTTTCAAGGGGAAAGAGTTCTCAAAAT